CAATTACGCCCATATCTTGCCTGAGGTAGAGGCTATAAAGGGTAATATACAGTTGCAGTGAGAAGCCATGATCATGTGACTCGCTCCTGTGAGATCGTCCCCAGAGGGTACCAGGCAAATGCTGCAGTTTAATATAAACATGCCTGACGGAGGCTGATGGGATATTACCGTTCTCACCCTGAAACAAGAATCACTGAGTCATGAGTAAAATGTGAACATTTATTAAACGGAGCTAAACACTGACAAACAAGAGCGAAAATAACCTGCTCATGTGAAGGAGAATGAGCAGGTAAGCAACAGCAAGACGAGCTCTGGAGAGAGCAGTTTGCAAAAACAACATCACGATTCACAGCCACTATCGTTACATGCAGTGTAACCGAAAGACATGGCCAAGCAAGATCTGTCGCAACTGCACGTTCACAGAAAGCACGTGACATGTACTCACTATATGCACAAAAATCCTAGGTATTCAATTCACTTCTTTGAGAGGCGCCAGTCTAGGAACTACCATTAAGTTACCTGATTATGTAAATATATAAGATTTTCATCTCCATTCTTCCAGTTCAGGGTCACGTGGGCTGGGAGTTTAATGTAGGAAATACTGGATATCAGGCTGGGCTCATCCTGAATGGGATGTGAGACTATCACAGGACACACACGTAACACAGCAGGAACATGCAGACATCACACACACAGAGCAGGGGACAGCAGTCAAAACACCAACCTTCAAGGTTAAAGGTGTTTGGACACATGAAACAAAACTTGACAAAAAGCAATCTGGTGTGATTTCTGACTACAGAAAACACTACAACCGACATTTTTTTTCTTTTTAGAAACTTCTTAAAGCGTAGTTGTTGGGAGATGTACCACAAGAGTAATGGCCATATGATCACGCAGTGACAACGAGAAGGCGGGACATCCAGGAATCCCACACTCTGAGGAATGAGGCCGTAGCAGGTAAGGCGCATTTCCTGTCTGTGGGAGGTCTGCCCTGGACACATGCGATGACATTCCACACGCAAGTGGTCTACAACTGTGACAGGCCTTCACAAGCTGCAAGACTTGGCATTAGGCGTAACATTCCTATTACGCTTAGTCCTCTGGGTGGTATTAAAAGCTTCAAATGGTCCCGCGTGAGGGGTGGCACGGTGGCTCAGTGCCTCACACCTCCAGGGCTGGGGGGGTTCGAATGTCCCAGTCTGTGTGTGTGACTGTGTGTGCGTCGAGTTTGCATGATGTCTCTGTGTTGTGTGGGGTTACCCTTGGTTCACCACATTCATCACACTGAAATAAGACATGCAGCTAAGCTAACTGGAATTTCTAAACTGCCCCTAATATGAAGTCATATGTGCTTGTCCATGTCTTACAATGTATCGGCCCCCTGTTCCCATGCCCAGTGGCCTGTGCTGCTTTGGCCCCCTGGTGATGTAACACCAGTGGATGGATGGAGAGTATGATCGCTACTCCTTTAGCACTTGATATGTTCGGTGATACCAGTGTTGAAACTCACACCAGCCAATCACATCGTGCTTTGCAGAGACAGCCACAACCCCCCCAGCAGGCCCAGCACCCAGCCAAAAACTGATCTGAGAAAATGCATCACATGGCAACTGTAGCAGTGTATCTTGAAAGCTGTCACCAAATATCCACCATAGAAAATACAGCGGCAGAGAAATTCTGGGTCCAAATTTATGGCTGTAACAATATCGTTACATGTGACAGTAAGCAAGCCAACTTTAGAAAGCGAGGACAGAGCAGCCAGACAGAGGCGGGAGTGTGGAAGGGTTAGGGGTCCGATGTGGACATGTACTTCAGCTGTTCCGGCAGACAGGTGCACGTTTTTGGAGCGTTTGTGACAGCTTAGGACTCCCGGCCTGCCTCCAGTGGAACAAACCGCTTAGTCTCTGAAGATCCGAAGATGAGGCTCTCACTTGATGTTGGCAGTGAGAAATGCAAACACTTGCAGTGCTGATTACCGAAGCTGTTCCTGCACAGGGCTGCAGCTCCGCGCCGAAAACCTTGAGGGAATGCGAGGAATTCCCAGCGGGAACAGAGGGCACTTATTGGGGAGAGCGGCATGGCGATGACTTGGGCCACCCAGGAGCCTACTCATAAAATGCAATGCTTGGCATGAGTCAGTTCTGCTGCAGTCCTGCAGTGTTTAACACCCCAGAACCACGCCGGTTTCGGAAAGTCCGGCAAAACACATGGAGGAGGCGACTGTCCCCCAGTGGCATATAGCCTTGGTGCATTAAAACACTAAAACTGAGAGAAATAATTAGCTTCCGGTGCACTGTGCAGCCTCCTGTGTCTTTTTATCACTCATCAGATGTAGAGCTGTGACTAGGTACAAAAAGTATGATGTGTAAAGAATATAAGGTACAAAAAGTAGGATGTATAAAGAATATAAAGTACAAAAGTAGGGTGTATAAATAATGTAAGATACAAAAGTAGGGTGTTTAAATAAGATAAGGTAAGGTGGGGTGTATAAATAATATAAGGTATAAAAGTAGGGTGTATAATTAAGGTAAGGTATAAAAGTGTGGTGTACAAATAATACAATGTACAAAAGTATGGTGTATAAATAATATAAGGTACAAAAGTAGGGTGTATAAATAATGTAAGATACAAAAGTAGGGTGTTTAAATAAGATAAGGTAAGGTGGGGTGTATAAATAATATAAGGTATAAAAGTAGGGTGTATAATTAAGGTAAGGTATAAAAGTGTGGTGTACAAATAATACAATGTACAAAAGTATGGTGTATAAATAATATAAGGTACAAAAGTAGGGTGTATAAATAATACAATGTACAAAAGTATGGTGTATAAATAATATAAGGTACAAAAGTAGGGTGTATAAATAATACAATGTACAAAAGTATGGTGTATAAATAATATAAGGTACAAAAGTAGGGTGTATAAATAATGTAAGATACAAAAGTAGGGTGTTTAAATAAGATAATGTACAGAATTAGGGTGTACAAATAATTTATGGTGCAAAAGTTATGGTGTATAAAAAATATAAGGTACAAAAGTTAGGATGTATAAATAATATAAGGTACAAAAAGTATGGTGTACAAATAATATTAGGTACAAAAGTAGGATGTATAAATAATATAATGCACAAAGGTAGGGTGTATAAATAATGTAAGGTAAAAAAAATAGGGTGTATAAATAATGTAAGATACAAAAGTAGGTTGTAGAAATAATATAAGGTACAAAACAGGATGTACAAATAATATAAGGTACAAAAAAGTAGAGCATCCAAATAATATAAGGTACCAAAGTATGGGTATAGAAGCCATTTCTGGGAGAGTTTTCTCAGATCTCCTGCTTTGGGAGATAGGCACAGAATACCTTTTAAATTTGGACCCTGTTTTTTGGATTACAGCCTAATAAGGGAAGAATTGAATTAATAATTAATTACTGCTGAACAGTTTCACACAGTCATTCACAGAATGACTTTTTAAGATAAAGTCAGGTTGGTTAAAATGACATTGCGGTTAATTCAATATTGTGTACAATACCGAAAAAAAAATCAGACACAAGATGATTCCAGATAACGCATGATAAGATGAGTTTTAAATAAACGACACTTCCTCTCCTCTGGAATCTCCAGTATATTCATTCCCACACAGTGAAATAATTGCTCAGCTCATAAAAACAACCTGTTTGCTCCCCCCCCCACTATAAACGGCACGTCTTGGGACACCACCAGCCTTGATTTGCATGCTTTTTAAAGCTGGCATCTGCACACTTTTCGCTGAATCACAAACTGAAATGCGCCAAAGCCGCTTCCAGAGACAGGCCTTTGGCAAAGACGGCCGTGGTGCTGCTATTTTGCAGCATGCGGTGTACATTAGCCCAGAACCACCCTGGAACGGGCCTTGTGTTCTCTCTGTTGTGCTGTGATACTGATACATCTCTGAGTTACGAAGCGAGAGAGTGAAGCGTTTCGGGCCTAATTCCCACTGTCCTGTGATCTGCCTTCTCCGCTGGGAACGGCGTTGCCAAGTGTTAAGAAATCATGGCACTCATTTACTTTCACACAGAGACAAACTACACCTCCCCACTGTATAAGAAGGCATCTAAATCCATCATCAAAAATGTACATATATGTGAGTTCCCATGCAAGGACAGAATAACATGAGGCACATACAAAACATACATGTACGTCTTCTAGGTGATGCATCTCATATATATATATATATATTAATTGATTTTTGCATCCTGTGCGTATGCATGACTATGAAATATTTATGTTTCATATATAAATACTATATATAACCTATAATATCCCAGCACAGGATCGCAGGAGCCTGGAGCTTATCTGAAACAAAAGGCAGAGGATCCCAGGAGAGACCAGGATGGGAAGACAGTGAAGAGTAGGGTACACACACACACACACACACACACACGCACGCGCACACACACATGTGCACGTGTGTGCACACGTACACACACACACACACGCACGCACATGTAGGGTATACATATCTTTATGGGGACCGCTCATTAATTTTTATGGGGAAAACTCTAATCCTAACATGACGACCTTAACCCCTACCTAGTCCTAACCTTAACCATAAGTAACCAAAACAAAATACTAGTTTTTGACTGCAGCCACAGATTTTTATAAAATTGAGTTTCTATTGTGGGGCCCGAACAGGTGGTCCCTTCAACGTGCAAATAACAGGTTTTTATCAATTTGTGGGGACATTTGGTGCCCACAAAGTAACATGGCATGTTTTATGTATTCATCATTTATTGAACTGTATGTGGTGGACTGACATTTTGTTATGATATGATTCCTTTATGCTGCTGGTTGTTTCCTAACATGCGCTATGTACAGTATTTATGTACTTTTTCCTCATCATTCTGTGCATTGCTTAAAACTTTTTTAAAGTACCAATTAGCATTTGAAAATGGAAAAAAAAAACAAAACAGAAAGATAGTAAGTCATGCAAAGTCATGCTTTATTAAATCTAAATTAATCCGTTTCAAAAAGCTGAACAAGCCACAGTCTAGTCATCCCTCTCTCAGTGTAATAATACGTCTCTCCTGATTTCAGACAGTAACCTTGACTGATTTCACTGTCTCTGTGAGTCTCTGTTTTAGTAAACAGATGGTGGGTCAGCCCACCTACGAAAAGCATTCCTTTAAACTGAACGTTCGTGTAGGTAGGACGCTTCTGGGCGTCAGGTCGCTACTGCGATAGGGCATCCTGACCGCCTCCGAAAACTGGCCTGCATGTTAAAAAGAAGGCCCGTTACTAATATATACAAAAGCATCATTTATAGGAAAAGCGACTCATCTGCAAATGATGGTGGTCAGACCTGGGAACTCAGGATATCCTTACGTGGCCAATCTTCAAGGACTTGATGTTAATCTTATGAAGGGGAAAACTGACAAAGCAAAACTAATTAAACCAATTAAAACCGATAAAAGAAATCAAATTAAAGGTGGATTAAAAGAATGAACACGTGAGAATGTTCTTTTATTAATGATATAATCCGAAGTGGAGCTTAGTCACCCTGTCGCTGCAGACTCTGGGATGGCAGATTTCGCTTATCCCTGTGTTTACGCGGGTTGTCTTCCTCCCGCGGTCCACAAATACAACAAGGCCAGCGTGGGTGTCCATGGGTGGGTGCCTACGGCAGTGGGGTGGGGGGGGGGCGGAGAGCACTAACCAAGACAGGGATTTCTTAATCCAACTCGCCTCTCCCAGCTCAGCAACATAAGCCTATTAGGTCCGGATATGGAGCAAATCAGAGATGTTCAGCGAGTGGATGTTAAGTGGAGAGCGGGAGCGATAGTAAATATATTGGGGGAGGATATAGAGGAGAGCAATTACCGATGCTGGGGTCTGCAGAGCGAGACAAGGAAAGCAGGCAGGCCTGCAAGCAGCTAACAGCACGGCCGGATCGATACGGGGGCCGACTCGTTGGCTGGAACAGGATCCGGCTGGCTTTGGCACCACCGGCACGCTGTTCAGCGGCGCGGTGACGACTCCGGGGAAACGGCCGCCTTTTGGAGGAAGAAGCCGAATGGGGGACTGAAAGGCTACACGCGGGCCACAGTAACATCAGAACCAGAAATTAAAAGACATGTTAAATCACATAAATTAAAGAAATTAAATGAAATTTTTATATCCAAGCCGGTGCCATCTGTGGAGAAGACTGGGCAGGAACAGGGTTAACTGGTAACAACTTTACTTGGTGAAGCACAATTACTTAGCAGTAACTCAGTTACTACTGAAGTACACATCATGAACAAATATAGTAGCTACTTGAGATAAAACACGTCGTGATTCATTAATGATGAACAAACAGGAGATCAGTGTTTCACTTGTATTGTTCATTACTTGTTCCTTCGGTAATTCACAAAGGTTTGCAGAACTAACAGATACAATAACAAATATAGTAACTGCTTGAGATGAAATATGTCACGATTCAGGAGATCAATATGTAACTAAGACTTACTTTGCGGTTAATTAATACATTAGTAATAGCATAATGCTACATTATTTGTGCCCCCTCAAGACAAGGTAACTTAGCATGAAGAGCTAGAAAAATTGGCTAAGCGGCTAAGCTAACACCATAACGCACCATCATGCCCGGGGGTGGCCTTGTGTCACCAGTGCTCTTTGTCCCTGTGACGTATGCCCTGTACACATTCAGTGTCACAGGCCCTTGTTCAAGGGTCACCCTTTGCCCCCCCCCCCCACATGTCACAGTCCCAACATGGCTGCCCCCCGTTCTGTTCTGTAGTTTGTAATTAACCCCTCAACCCCAGTGTAAAGGGCCAATTCTCTGTCAACGATGAGATCGCTAAACATGGACAGCCATTGCTGTTTGGTGGGGAGAAGGAACAGAGTTACACTATTCAATTTGCCAGAATTAAATAAACAAAAAAAAAACTGTAGCACTTTACAACAAGAATACGCTAATAGAGGGTTTATGAATGATTTATAATCAGGTTATTAATTAGGTTGTGACACTTTGAAAATAATTAATAGACAATTAAACAAGTTATAACACACTGTTTTTATTATTAATGAGTTACTACCATTTAGAAGTGGCAAAAGGGAGCCTTATTGTAAAATGGTACAAAAAATCTAACTTGCACATAGAAATGAATAACTTCTGTTGCGTGTCTTACTCCAAGTTAAACCGGGATAAAACAGTATCAGGAAAACAAATCCTATATTTCACGCTGCGCATGGTCAGAATCAATGCAGGTTGACACCTTGATTCAAACCTCTATCTGTGGGTATATACCCACTTTCTTCAATACAACAGCAAAGCATTAATTTTATGCGATCGTAGTGGTCAAACGCACCTCTGAAATAAACCTTCATTAGCTTTCCTTTTGTAAGAGTGCAATGAATCCATTATGATTTCAGCGGGGAAACCAGGGGTGTACACGCGTGGCTGTTAGGGACTTACCTGACAGCAAAGTGCACAGGCTTCGCTGCAGTCCCTAAACCGCAGACTCAGATTCGCAGAGCGGCAAAACGTTTAGTGAAGTGCGGCTCGGCGTGCCGTGTGCCCGCAGCTCCACCGTACAGGGGCAGATCAAGAAATCGCCCTAAGTGCCTGTGACAGGCTCCAGTACCGCAATAAACATCTGCTGAGCTCCGCACCGTGGGCTCTGCCGGGGAGCCGCTGGAGGAGAACGGACAGGCCTGGGATTAATTGAGAAATTTGAGTTATAGGGCCGCTCCTGCAGGCCTCTCCTGGGAAGCCTGTAGCTATTCACAGAACTGATCTGGTCAGGCTGTTTTAATCGTGCATCGTGAACAAAGACTGCTTCCATGGAAATAGCTTTCAGTCATGATCTATGAGCAGAAAGGTGTGAAGTGAAATAAGCATTATTCATATGCTTGAAAATAAGTCCTTTTTAGTTATATTTTCTTCCTGAAGCAGATATATATATAAAAAAATCTGTTTATATAGCTTATCTACCGGAACTGCCGGAAGTCACATGACTAAATATAGTCACAGCATAATGAAGAACTCTTTATTAAGTAAATAACACTCACAGCGTTTCAATTCCTCTATTTTCATGAATTATGAAAAGTGTACAAAGCAGAAATCTGCAACTTGCACAAAACAAAAACTGAACAAAAAAACAACAAATTAAAAAACAATAGTTATGGTGAGACTGAGTGCAGAGGCGACGGGTGGGGCCGGGGGGGGGGCGTGTGTGCCGCGCCCTTGCTGAGCGGCTTCGTGGGGCACTGATTACCGCCCTGGGTTACCAAACAGCACCCTGACGCCACCCAGGGGAAGTGATGTCAACTTGCGCAGAAGCGCGGCATGATAGCTGGTGAAATATGAGAACGACGGAAGCGGGAACGGAAAGAAAGCAATATGAGTAAACCAGTCAGGATATAAATATTAAAATCATGCTCTTCATTTAAGATGTCAAAGCGGGAGCAGGGGTGATGCTCCAGGCCGCTTCTGCTTTTCCTATGATGGGTGAATTCATCTCGCCATCTGGTGGCCATTTCCAGTCATAGCGGGGTGCAAGTCCACATAATTGAGTGAACATAGGCTGTGTTAAAATTTGTCTGTAAACCGCATCCAGTTGCATCTGCTTTTTGTTTCGCTTTGAGGCCTCGGGCTGCGGCTTTATGTCTGAGTATACGACAGGATATTAGAGAAGAGGGCGCTAACGGCTAACGGCAAAACAGCCTTGCTCCGCCGACCTCATAAGCTGGCCTGTCCTCAAAATAAACGATGTTTAGCGGCTGAGTCTCAAGGCGACACAGCGCTGCGCGATGCTCAAGGTCATGGTGCGTTGTCCAATATTCTTTATGAATAAATGCACCCTGCACATCCCAGGATGTGGAAACCCGGCTGCACTGCACCACTTCCCTGCACATCCCAGGGATGTGGAAACCCAGCTGCACTGCACAGCTTCCCCGAATAACGTCGGATTTTTGGCCGGGCATCTCCGGGGCTGATGTACCTGCGCGTGTCAGAGCAAGCTAATTGACTGCAGCTTCACAGAAGCAGCAGTTCCACCTGGCTGGAGACCAGCAGCCTGGTAACTTGGGCTGCACAGACTGTCAGCGTTAATCAAGTCCTGTCTCTTAACAGCGCCGCTGTTATCAATGGGCTACAGATTAATATTACGGCTGAAACAGATGATAAATCCTTTGTACATAATTAGTGCACAGCAAGGTTACAGCTGACGTGATTTTTTTTTAATCTTAATTAAGGGGGAAATTTGTTCCATTAATTTAATTTAGTGTGCATGACTGGGCCACAGCTTAACAAAGTTAATCTTAGACCTGTCACTACTGCAGAGGAGTGGATGTGGGAGAGATCCTTCATGGAAACGTTATCAGATTCATCCACAGTGCTGAGCTTGCAAGCTCGTCTTTTGGCCCAGTGTGGGACAGGGCTGACTGAGTGCACAGGGACTCCATGACGGTGTGTGTGTGTGTGTGTGTGTGTGTAGGGGGGGCAAATATTTAGGGCACGTGGCAGCTCCCACTTTTCTGACACTTACACCTGCAGCTGGTTCTCTACAAGCACAACGATGCATTATGGGATATGGGTACAATTAGATGAAGACTGTACTGGTGGCAAATTCGACACTCAGGTTTGCACTGTTTTGAAACCTTCTGATTTCAACTCGGCTCTTCGACTTCGCTTTTGAAATGGCAGGAACGCAAGCGACCTTCTGATTAGTTTGTTGGTGTGTCAGAGATAAATATATAGATACATAGTAGGAAAGGCAATTTCAAAACATTTCAAAAGAGTGTCCCGAGTGCCCAAGATAATACTGTTATTATATACCCTTCTGATGTGCCGATGGTTTCTGTCAGTGAATTCCGATTCTGAGAGTGCTGTTTCAAAACATTTGTTTCAAATCTTTTTGAAATGTCTCGGATATCTCAAAATTGCCATCCCTAGATGACTGTGTAAAAAAAAAAAAAATATATATATATATATATATATATATATGGCGCCAAAATTAGAAACAGTCACGTAATGTGGATTCTAACACTAACCACGGAGCTCAGGGTGCAGGCAAAACACCCACTGGGATGAATAACATTTTTCTGTCTGTCTGTCTGTCTATCCGTCTACCATTAAGCCACCAAGGCTCACCGTCACATTGAGGCGGGCAGAGATCAGCATGTGTGGCGTGGATCGTATTTAGCTTGCGTTTAGCCTGCCATCTGCGATGGCCGTAGCTTGGGGGACGGGCCCAGCGACACTCCCAGGTTCAGTGGCGTGAGCATGACTGACAGAGTGCATGGCGTTTCAATATTAATCTGGGGCTAATTACACAGCAGGCCAGCTGGAGACAAAGGGAGCTGAGGAGAGAACGACACACAAACAAAAGGACTGTAAGAGGATCCTCCGCCCCCCCCCCCCCCCACCCCGGCATGATGAAGCATCCTTGTTTAGCCTGTGGTTTCAGTCACCAGCACCGATTCTTGATCCGCTGAACGTTTTCCTGCATTTTTATATGTCTTTTTTACACACAAATCAGGCTTTAAGGTGTTTATCGGAATTCCCCCTTCAACCAGCAAACTAGCTTTTTCTCTGAATGTGCTATTCTTTTCTAAATTGACACTCATTACTGGTAACTACTTTGGACACTAATTCGCATGTACACAGGTAAGAGGCGAGAACATTCAGAATGATGTTGTTCAGCTCCATTAACTGCTGATATCTGGATATGTGACTAGCAGCCAGACTCACCCATTCTGAGATGGAGGAGAAGGAGATCCTCTTCCCTCGTTACCCCTGGGTATGTTCCTTGTTGATTGTCCTCCATCTACTGGACAAAAGCAGAACTGCATGTGAAAAAGCCTAAGTCAATTTATGTTACCGCCTTTTTAGGAATGCAAACATTATATAAATTATTTCGACCAACATATATTTTCCCATTCTTTTTTACAGCATGTCATTCATTTTCACTAACATCCTATAATATTTTCTTTTACATTTTACTTTGTGTAGAGTAGATTTTAGAAGTTTATTTTAATAAGAACAATTTACCTGTATAAAATTTGGGATTTACTATTTCAAAAGAATTTTGCAAAATTAGCTTTTCTTCTGCACCACTAGAGCATCATTGTAAATATAGCTGTTTATAAATATAGTTGCTTATTTTCTGGTGTATGGCTCCCTCTGCTGGTAACAACTACCTACAACCCTGAGTGCCATACAATACATGACACTGAAATGAATTTTATCATCCAGGTGACCCTGTACTGGTAAAATATGAGAACATTGTTATGTTTTTCAGGATATTTACTCTTTAAACCTCTTTGCAGTACATTGACTTATTTGAACTATGTTAAACTGTCAGTGCGCCTGGCCTGTTTGTCACTATACAGTGGATATAAAACGTCAACACATCCCTGCCAAAATGGTTGGTTTCTGTGTGATAATAAAAAACCAAGACAAATCATGTCAGAACTTATTCCACCTTCATTGCAAAATTGCAATCAATACAAAGAAGGGAAAAACTAATCAGAAACTTTAGTGAAAAAAGGGGGAAAATCAAAAACGCAAATACAAAAACCTGGTTACACATTTTCATTTTACTACAGCACTCGGACTTTTCAGGTAATTGTATCAGTTTGGAGCATCTGGACTTGACAATATTTGCCCACTCGTCCTTGCATAAGTGCTCGAATCAATCACATTGCAGGGGCATTTCCTGTGCACAGCCCACTTTAGATCACCCCAGAGATTTTCATCTGGATTAAGGTCTGGCCTTTGACTCAGGACTCAGTCATTGGGCGTTTTTCCACCGCACCAGGTACCGTACTTTTGGTACTTTCGGTACTTCCATGAAGTGCCGAAAGTTTGGTACTTCTTTCATGTCGGTTTTCCACTGGCGTAAAAAATGGTACCGGTGCCAAATGACATCATCAGTGACCGCCCCTGACTGACAGCACAAAATTAAAACTAACAGTTGAGGCTGGAAAATGCGATTTATTGTTATGACAGCTTCTATCACAGTATAAGATTTAGTAAAATCCTAATCATGCTGCCATCAATTACATTTACGTAGGTACACTTACTTTGGCTAAGCCGATCAAAGCAGTAGCCTAAGAATTAACTTACTGCTAATTCAGTCTTTTGAAAGCAAACAAATTATTTAATTATGTTTTTTGATTTTCAAGCGGCATTGTTCGGTGTTTCGCGTGTGCCCCATTTCTTCCAAGCGGCTTGGTATTACGGTGTTCCGGGCAATTCAGTTATCCTATGTTTCTCCTGTCTATCAGGAAATAATGTTTCCCCTAATATTAAAGCAAAGAGGTATGTGAAATGTCTGAAAATCACTCAGGTACATTATTACATGTGAATACAGTACATCGTCACGCATAATATAGTCTTATAAGCAATACTATACCGTTTTCATCAAGAAATATCTCTATCGAGCGAAATAAGTAATTTCATTTATTATCTGTAAAAACAAAAAACATAGAAAAGGCATGTGATGTTTTAAAATTAATATATGGCTTGTTTACCTCAAGAGCTTCGTAAAAAGACATGAAAACAGCGAAACCGTGTACAAATCAGCGCGCGACAGGGGAAACATAGGGAAACTGAATTGCCCGGAACAGCAAAAACTTTTTTTATTTCGAGTCGTGCCATCCAAATCCCACTGGATCTGTTCATCCGACCATATGGCGATTAAAGCCTGTGATATCTGGATATGTGACTAAAAAAACTTTTTATTTTGTTTCTCGCTGTGATCGCTCTGTTCGCTGTGTGTTTCAAAAGATGGCGGTTGTATTTTGTGTTTCAGCGGCAGGCTATTTGCATAACCAATCGACAGCAAATACGTTTGCAAGTCCCACCCCAAAGTACCGAAGTACCAAAGAAGTACCCCAACTGGTTTGGCACTTTTGGTACTCGAGATTTCGGTACTGGTACTCGACCGGAAGTCAATGGAAAAGCGAAAGTACCGAAAGTACCGTACCGAAAGTACCGTACTTTGTGCGGTGGAAAAGCGCCCATTGATTCTCTTCTGCTGAACCCATTCCTTTTTGATTGAGATGTATGCTTTGTGTCGTCATGCAGGTGAAATTCCTCTTCATCTTCTAAGCGGATGCTTGAAGATTTTGTGTAAAAATAAACTGATATTTGGAGATATTCATGTCCGGATATTCATCCACCTTGACTGAAACCCCAGTTCTAGCTGAAGAAAAGCAGCCCCAAAGTATGCTGCTGTCTCCGCCAAGCTTCACTGTGGACATATTTTATCCACCTGTTGATTGTCTTCACTCTGCTCCATGGGATCTTTAATGCTTTGGATACTTTTTTTCTACCTCTGTCCCGATTGATACCTTTTAATGGTGAGATTCCATTCTGAAAGCTCTTTGAGGACCATGGCTTTTGGAGTATGATGCAACCAGGAGGATATCAGAATAATCTTACAGGTACAGTCAAACTATGTGTGAGGTCAATCAGAGTCACTATAATTGATGTCATATGTATATGACATCAGTATGCTATTTAACATACTGAATGTGACTGGTTGATTCGAGACAGAGGCTCATCCTTGATTATTAAAGACTGTGCACAATTATGCAGCCAGGTTATTATTTTCATTTTTTACCCTTAACAGTGTCTGATTTGTTTTCACCTTTTTTTGTATAGATTGCAATTTTGAAATTAAGGTGGAATAAGTTCTTATATTGTTTATCTAGGTTTTTTTTGTACACACACAAACCTGCCATTTAGCTCAATAAATTGTATCTTAGTCCATCGTGATGACATAGCCCTGTACCAACCCAGGGAAGCTGTAAAAAGTGCGGCACTGGGAGCACCATCAGAACATCAACTGGGGACTGTGAGCAAGAGGTGGAAAGTTCGGGTCCAGAAGTAGAATTCCAGTCCAAGATTTTATTTCAACCATCCAGCAGTTAGTGTGTAATATACAAGATAACAGACGACGTATGTAAAGAATGAGTGAGATCTGTGTTTCCCAAATCACTTCACTATTCCAGAATTAACTAATGAACTTTAAGCAGCACTTTCTTGGCTCCTTCCCAGCTTTCGCGTGAAAAAAAGCACTCAATGATCATAACAGGAACACCGATTCCACGTTTCAATGGTGAAATATGTTATATGATTGTCACACCTTACATATGCAAAGATAAAAAATATATAACCTAATTAACACACCAAAGCAACCAAAATGAAGACCAAAAACGAAATAAACTATTTGTTGAAAGTATTAAAATCATCAAAATATGGTATCGTTTCTTGTAGAAAAGCTCAATAGCGAGGGAAAGGAAGTAACACTTCTCGAACAAAGCCTTAAAAGCAATTATTGAAATATATTTTAATAAAATGATTACTGCAATGTTGTGCAGGATACTACACACAAGACCAGCACAGCAGCACTCAGGGTGAAACCTTAGAGCTCCCAAGGACTCTAGTCACATCTTCCACATGCCCAAAGCCCGTTGTGTGTCTTTGGTCTGCCATGTTATACTTTTCCTCAGCCACAGTTTGCTGATTCAACACCGGAGTCAGCAGGTATTGGCTAAGAGGATGCCTGCTGTCTCCCAATAACCAGCCACCAGCAAACACACCATTCTTTGCCATCTGACACTCCAAAGCTGGACCAGATATAAGCATCATGTGTCCTCCCAGGCCACTTGGTGACAATGTCTGTCAAATGTCCTTGATGGTTGCATGTCACCTGGATATTTAGGCCTAGTGCCAAGAACCCTTTCCAACAGGCACAGGTGGGATTGAAGAGGCTGCAAGTATGAAGAAGGTTGAGGGCTCCATCCACCAGATGCAGGACACAGCAGCCTTGAAGCCATGTGCTGAAATCCACTGGAGGCGCAGAAGCAGAGAGCTGTCAGAAGCTGCAAGATGCACTGAGGGCAAAAATCTGGTGTGTTCCTCTTCTCAATTTATCCTGCACCAGACCAAGGAGGCTCATTGTTTCACCCCTGGTCAGCCTGTATTTCTCCATGAAATGTTCAATACTGAGATGGTCCAAGGGGTTCATGATCACACAGTTAGACAAAGAACTTGGCTTCTTTGGTTACTGCAATTCTCTGCCATTGCTGGTAGTGAGGGGTGATTCACCTTTCCAGTTTAAAGAAGGCATATAAATATTGGACTTCTGTTCTATTATGCATTGCAAGAAAAATATAAAGCACCTAATTTCTAATAGTATTTACTGCTTGTGAATATCCGTGAACAAGATTACAGCACAATTACAATGACTTCTACTGTACTTAATATTATTATGGATTGACAGACAATGCAATGCAAAGTTTTTAGATATGGTGACATGAGTTTTAAAAAGTCTGTGAAGTTTTCACTGCGAACAAAATTGCAATTGAAATAACTTTTTTTTAAGTTACATTATATACCTCGAGTATAGAAAATGGTATCGAATCTGAATATTCTTTTTTGGTCTTGCGAGTTTGAAATGTTGGTATCATGACAACAATGACATGAACTATCTGCCTCACTCATTGGACTCACCGGAAATTGCTGGGCTGGACTGGTGAAGATAGCTGACAGCATGCTGTAAAGTTTTACAGCTATTTATTCTGAAAACTTACCTGTTGATTACGGTTCAAAGTTTGCAGTACCTCTTTCCTTGAAGGTTAGTGTCTTCTTTTAGTTGATTTATGTTTTTTTCTCATAACTGGATAAAGTTATATTAAAGCTTAGTTTATCAATCCTTCATGTTCTGTTTTATGTCATATCAAGCGCAAATTCTGCATATTCAGACTTTAACCAGGTGTCGAGCTCGGTTGGAATATTAGACAATCTCAATCTCAAGCACCAGTGCTGAGGGGACAATCAATGCTGGTCGTGTGGTAAAAACAATGAGACAGATGTCGTATTGTAGTCTTTTCTTATTATGCACAAAGCAGACACTTGGCAACTTCCTTTTATAGGAGTGTGGGTGTTTGTGTGTGGTTCTGAAATAAAAATGCGTAACATACTGTATTATTTAGATATTATCAAACAATCAATATATTATATGCAATATAAATGTTTCAATGCCATAATGCTTTTACAGGTAACTTTAGTAGTGCATACAACTTCACTAGACAGTGGAATAACAGGAATATTCCTTGCATTACTACTGTTGGCTGTAAGGGGGGTCAATCTACAAAAGAAGTACGTACCACAATTAGTCAATACTTTTAACACAGGTTAGACTAATACTAACATGATTTGTTGATGAAATAACGTCTTTTGCAGGAGACACCACATAACAGTAGGGCTGTATATAATGTGTTATCAACAATAGAAGAACATAATAATGCTAACTGGATTTATATGGATTGCTGTTAAGGCACATGGCCAACGAATTACTATCGCACTAACAAACAATAGGTGTAACGAAAACAGCAAGTAACAGTTTTAACCCTTTCAACCCTATCCATTTTTGAGTGTTTTTCTATCTCTTTGTTAGCCTTATTACATGGCATGTACATGAGTTAGTCACACATGCTTTATGTTTTTGTTTTCAGGACATTTTGAGCAACTCAGATATGTCATATTTTGATGACAATGTCTTGACATCATCCTTTTTATGAGAAAAAAATACTTGTGCCTATTGAAATTTCTGAGATGTTCGTCTCATCTAATATAAAAATTTGCAGGCATTTACAAATTGTAAGGAAAAGTAGTAAAGATGTCCCAATGTTCTTGGTTGATCGTCTGAATACAGACAGTGTTAGAAATTCATTATCATAGAGGAAGTCAGGGATAGAATGGGGGTTCCAGTCGGCATCACTAGGGTGACAAGGAAGTAATTGAATTATAATCATCAGAAATTCTCCATCCTGTCCTGCCCCATCCCCATCCCCGCCACAGGCAACTCATAGTCCATTAGGTCACTCTTTATATGTAAATTCACTCACAACATCTACACACAGTACCTTGTTAGGGAGGGTCTTTTGGGGTATAAAGGGGGGTGAAGAACTGCCCTTAATTTGTATTTGAGCTGCCTTTCAGTACCCGGTGTATGTCTACACTGTATTACATTATATTATTTTTACTGTTCAATAAACCACCGTTTTGCTGAAACTGCGGAGACTCTGCAAGTGGATTCCGTATATCTTTTTGGCGTGCCAGCCAAGAGAAGGGGCTAACAACTGGAAGAGTGACCTGGGAACTTTTTTTGGCTGATATTTTCCTCAAGAAGAGACAAGATTGCTTCACCTTAGAGAGAAGACTGACCAGAAAACTTCATTCCAGACGTGCCACCTTCGTCTGCGAACTGAACAACCCAGAAAGAATCATACTTGTGAGTATAACTGGTTTGCGATATCAGACGTCTGCTGAGACGAACAGTAAAATAATATAGGAAATAGGGAGTAATTCAAGACTTAGGCATGAGAGATCTCCTAGCTTGACCTGTTTATCAGTACTAGATGGTAAACAGGAGGTGTGTTTGTAGAGGAATTGGGCTTTGGTAAGAAGGCACCAGCAGGGTTCCCCACATTTTAACCCTGTGTCCTTGAGGTAAACCACCACCATAGGTATATTGTGTAAGTTTATACTGTGAGAGTTTAAATCTATACTCAGAACCTAAAATGATGGAGTGGGCCATCGAAAATGTTGCAAAGCATTGCAAGGAGTGATCATTCGGATCTCTCACAGATAAGTTAGACCCTCTAAATTGGAGGCATGTAGGGAAAGGAACATGAAATGTTCCAAGAAAAAGTATAAGCATGCTAACGTGTTACAGACCTTGCCGGAAGGACAGCTAGATATTAAGTGCAGACTGGCAAGTTCGCAGTCTGAGTGTGCTGAGCATAGGAGTACAATTGGTGAATCGGGGGATAAAACAGAGAGTCTCGGACAGGAGAACTGTGCTAGTCGAGCAGAGTGTCGGCTAGCCACCGAAAATAGTATTGAACTGAGGCAACTGGTAGCTTCTCTTAGGCAGTGCCTGAAAGCGGCTAAGGAAACTAATGCATTCCTTAGAAAGGAACTAAAGAAGTGTCAGAATGCTTATGAGGCACTATAGTCTAGAAGTCTTAAAGTGTGCTGAGGATGAGGATACTGTTTTGAAAGGCAAATTAGAACGGGTTAAGGAACATGTTGCAGCTTTGGGCATGTTGTTCTAACTTCAATCTTTGCTTTTGAGGATCTTTTTCGGCTTGCCTGATTGTTCTTGATGACTCTTGTCTTTGTTCAGTTTTCTGTTTCCCTTACTTTTACAATCCAGGCCACTGACCTTTTCAGCTAATTCCAGTCTGAGTAATATTTGATCAGCTGGTTCATTGGTTCCATATTTTCATTGACTTTGATGGTGTTAACTATGACTGTGTTCTTGACTTCTGGATCATTTTGAAGGCTTTCCTTGGATCGCACAGGCTGTTCCGGCCAGTCACACTAATTCAGGAGAAAATCTGGTCCGTTCATCCATGTTCCTCCTTGTACCAAACTCTTTGCTTTCAGCCCTCTGCTGGCTTGATCTGCAGAATTTACCTTTGTTCTATCATACTTCCATTGTGATGGCTTGGTGGCTTCTCGGATCAATGAAATTCTGTTTGCAATGAAAGTTTTGAAACGGGCAGTTTCACTGTCAATGTACGTAAGCATTTTAATACTGTCTGTCCAAAAGACAGATTGTTGCAGTGGAACTTGAAGTTCTTGATGTAACATCTTGTCGATCTTCACTGCAACAACTGCTGTGGCTAACTCAAGTCTCGAGACTGTGACCCATTTTAGTGGAGTCACTCTTGACTTCCCCATAAGGAAAGCAATATGTTTCTTGCCTTGGCCATTCTCTAGCAGCAGATAAGACACAGTGCCATATGTGTATTTCGAGGCATCCGAAAAGTGATGTAATTGCACTGCAGTAGTGCATCCAAACTCCATAGATTTCAAACATCTACTCACATGGAAGTTAGAGAGGTGAGTAATATCGCCCTTCCATCTTTTCCAGTCTTCACCATGCTTTCCATTGATGTTCTCATTCCAACCATGTTGTTCTTTACAGAGATCTGTCAACAGGAGTTTAACAGGCAAGATGACCGGAGCCAGATAGCCAAGGGGGTCGTAGATTTTACATTTACATTTACAGCATTTGGCAGAGGCCCTTAGCCAGAGCGACTTACATAAGTGCTTTAATTGACAACTCATAAAATGCCTCTTCTGGTCATCGGATTGTCTTGCAGCTTTATACTGTGGGTGAAAGTATCTATTTCCTTGTTCCATTGTACACCGAGTGTCCTCTCTACTGGCAGAGTGTCATGTCTTAAATCCAGGTCTTTCACTTCATCGGTTCTGTGATCTTCAGGGATTTACATTAACACCTTTCTACTATTGCTCATCCACTTTGACAAGGTGAACCCTCCACTGGCACACAAAGCACGAAGATCTCTGACTTTCAGGCAGTCATCTACGTAGAAGTTGCGCAAAACTGCCTCAACAGCTTCTGGAGATACAACATCTCTGTGATCCTCTGCAGTTCTTCTCAATGAATATGAGGCAACACTTGGTGAGGAAGTGACTCCGAAGAGGTGCACTGTCATATGGAATTCCTTCATAGGCTTGTCCAACTAGCCGTTCGGCCACCAAAGAAATCGAAGGAGATCCACATTGTGTTCTGGCACTTTAGCTTGATAAAACATCGACTCAATGTCTGCCATTACTGCTGCTGGCTCCTCATTAAATCTTAGGAGGACACCTACTAATGTGTTGGTCAGGTCGGGCCCCTGGAGCAACTCACTATTTAGAGACCTATCCTGCAACGAGGCTGTACAGTCAAATACCACCCACAGCTTTCTTTTCTTTGGGTGATAAACTCTATGGTGTGGTATATAGAACACACTATTGTCATCACGGTTCAGCTTAGAGGTCGACCGATATGGGTTTTTCAATAGCCGATGCCGATGACGATATTTAGGAGTCAGGGTCAGCCGATGGCCGATATATGCTGCCGATATTTTTTGGCCGAAAATTGGACGTATTCCCCTCTATTTGCATGATAAAATATCACATTAATAATAACAAACGATACACAAAATCTCAACTTAGCATTTATTGAATACTGACTTGTGTAAATTTAAATATAAACTTAAATAACAAAAACACAATACAACTTATAAACAACTTAAACTTATAAACAATAAAGATAGCAGCATCAGAATCTCTTTAGCAGCAAACTCATTCTTCAGCTCCCAAGCTCACCAGTCTGCTGCAGATATTGCACCTGGCTTTTCCTGGTGTTGGCTTTGTGAAATGCTGCCATACAGGATTAGATTTTTGTTCAGCCATCAGACAGCAATTACTAAAACAGAAGAATAAATGCAAGGTTAGAATTTTTATTATAGTACCTTCATCTTCAATTCATTCTACAATTCCAGTATTCCATGCACATTAAAACAATTACACTCTAATACATTTTGAAGAAAAAAAAACACTAAGTGCATCATAGTATGATGAGTAGTGTACACTAACATGTTGTTTCTGTTGTTAGCAGACAGATAGCTTAAAGCCAAATTCACAATCAGAATCTAGTGATCCCGGAAAATAAAATAACTGTTGTATTGCACAGCCTTGTATGCAAGGACAACATAAGCCCCTAGTGATTGTGACGTTGTCTACGTATAAGCCCGTATAAAGGATAGACATGTTTAATGAGGAAACTAACTGCGCAAAGTCATGCACTTTTTATCTAGACGTCTGACAAATTGTTTGAATCTCCGGTCTCAAATGAAAAAAAGTTGCACAGAAGGACCATTGTCAGCATCAGCTCAAGTAAATGGTAACCACGCTTTCGAACAAACTCTTTTCTCCGCCATGCATTGTTCTTAGCAGCTCTGTGTCTCCGAGGACGGCGCTGTCTGTGATCAGGGCAGAGTAACGCAACTCTCACACACGCTGCAGTATTTGAGAGCTGCCTGCTCCGCCCCACACACTCACAGACTGAAACTCTCCGACACAAGAAAAAAAGCATAACTGATAACATCGGGCTGATATGGTAATAATTAAAATGTTAACAATTAAAAAGATTTTTAACGATTAAAAAACGTCTGTGAGCCCACCAATAAGCGCACAAAACGAACTCTATTAGAATCAATGATCCTTAATGTTACCTGTAAGCTACAGTTGGTTGAAGGCTCATTATCATTACCCCAGTTCCCAATAGCGTAATTCGCGTTTTCTTTTAAAGCAACATTTCATAGCAAACTACTTAAATAAACAGGTCATTGAAAGATCAGAATTTAAGCCTTACCGTTTTATCCCAGGACTCTTCCAAAACTTCTGGCTGTGGTCCTGCACAAGGCAGCATGGGTCACGTGTTCCACAGCAACAATAACACTGGGCTGCCCGCAGACGTGCCTGTCTGAAAATCGGCGTAGTGCACTCGTATAGCGGCCGATGCCGATACATTAAAAAATGCTAAATATCGGCCCGATATATCGGCCGGCCGATATATCGGTCGACCTCTAGTTCAGCTGATGTGCCGGAACCTCGACAGCATAGCCATTGCCAATGATGGTCTCCATGAAACTCTTGTAATCTTCAAAGAATTCAAGATTCTTCTTAAACTTCCTAAGCAAACATACTATATGCTGTTCTGCCACACAACCGTTATTAGGCATTTGGAGCTTCTCATTCCTGAGCATTCTCCGTTCTCCAAAACCATCGTTTTATCCACAGACTGCAAAAACAGTTTGTCTTCTTATCATCAAAATTACGCTCTGGAAAATCAGTGTTGTACTGTTGGACCAGTAGCTTCTCAATTTCCATCACAGATTCTGCTTACTGAGAAATGAGGCGGTTCATTATATGTGTCATTCAGATCTTTCCTTATGGGTCCATTCACAACCCATCCAATGGCTGTTAACTGCATAAGGACCTCCATTTCGACCATTGATTATGCACCATGGTTCTAACGCTCTTGAACAGTTAGCTCCAATAAGTAGGCCTACCTCAGCTTCTATCTCTGGAACGCTCACTTCATGAAGATAAGGCTACTTCTGGATATCTGACAGTTTGGGGGACGTTACCAGTATGAACAGGTATACTGCTATGCGTGAACACCTTGGGTAACTCAATGAACTTGGTGTCTTCCAGCCCACAGACATTCTTGGTCTGATATCACTAAACTGTTCATGAGCGTCTATTCTCCTGGTTTATCTTGACCCATAGTGCTAAGAAGAATTCATGTTGGTTTTCCCTTCACATTCAATTTCATTTGCAGGTCTTCTGTGCAGATAGTTGCTGTGGTTCCCGGGTCCAGAAAGGTGTACGTTTCAACATACTTGTTACTTTTCTTTGACTTGACCTTTACTGGTACTATTGACAACACACATTCAGCTTCTCCGGCCCCTGTAAGGCCACAGGATTCCTGAGTGATAGGAACTCGAGAACATGACACTCCATTACATTGAGCACCATTTTTATTTTCAGGTAAGACAGAATTTTCATCTTTTACTTTGTGTAGAAATGTCTGAGTGCTTTAATGCACATTCTTTACATTCAATTCTTCGTCTGCAGAATTTGCTGAGATGGCCTAGACCCAAACATCCAAAACATAGGCCCTTTGATTTTAAAAACTCCATCTGCTCTTTATGGGGCTGGCCTTTGATTTTACTGCACAAAGCAAGAGTATGAAACTGCTGGTAGTACAAATATGGCTTTTCAAAGGCACTGACTGTTTTACCTGAGTTTGCTGGCTTAACATGAGTTTCTTGAGGCCTTTTGCTTTCGGCATAAGCATTAGTTATGAAACTGCTTCCACGGACCTCTTTCTTTCCTGGATGCCTTTCCTTTTGGTCACTATTTCAACTTGTGGTTGGGCAGCCATCTGAGATATTACCAAAGAGGGGATCCATAGCTATCTTAGCTTGGCGGTCTATGAAATTCACCAAATCTGCAAATCTTGCTCTCCCACTTCTTCATTCTTTGAGCTCGAAAGCTTCAGCATGCCAACGTTGTCTCATTTTTTAGGGCAGTTTTGATATCACTGTCCGTAGGTTTGTGGGATTATCCATCTCTTCTACAAATTCGATATCCTCCATGGAGTTGCGACATCCGATCAAAAACATTGCATAAGCATTTCATGCTTTTCTATCATCTGACTTCACTTGAAGCCATTTGAGTGCTTTGACAATGTACACGCTGCCAATCTGTAGCTCATCCCCACAGTACTTATGAAGTACCTGCTTTGCTTCATGATAGCCCTTGCTAGATGTCATATAGGCACAGCTGCGAACAAGCTCTTGAGGTTCACCAGCTGTAAATTGTTCCGAAAAGTACAATTTATCTCGATCATTGTTGGTCTTCTGCTCAATTGCATGCTCAAACACCATCATGAAGGTTTTGTATTGTAGTGCATCACCCTTGAACACAGGAATGTCCTTTGTTGGTAGCAGGGATGGCTGCTGTTGCCTTAGAAATAGCTTGGTAATTACATTCTGCCTTTGCATGACTGTTAAGAAGTCATCATCTACAGTAACTTGAGCATCATACCTGCGATTGGACACTGGTTGTGGCAGATGTGGTTGTGGTATTTGAGAGTGCTGCGCTTGTGGTCGTACGTGAACATTCACATTTGCTTGTTGTGGTAGCATCATGCTAATTCTATGCTTCTTCACGTTCCCGCTTAGAGACACTGACACATAACTACTAAAACAATCTTCAGATCTTTCATATTCTTTAAGCACTTTTAATTTTGCTTGGCTTTCGGCTAACGCAGTCTTCAGCTCCATTCTTTCCTTTTCAGCTTTAATTTTAGCTGCTTCAAACTCAAGCTCTTGCATAATCCTGGCAGATTTCCTAATGTTCGTCTCCTCACCTTTGCAATCGATCTTCTAATGCCTTCTCTGTTAGCTTGCGTGATCTGCCCTGCTCCACTGCATCCTCGCCATATCTCTGTTAATCTTTATCAGCAATCTTACAAAGTTAATGCTTCACCTGCATACAAAGGTTTAAAGCACTTTCCTCAAAAAAGGGCTTTTGTTAACAAACCAAGTGCAAACAACTTCTCAAAAATCGGCAAAACTCTACACTGACTGAATAAAGTCTTGCTATCAAAATACGTTTTTGCAGGGAGAGACAGGGATCGCTATTTCTAACACGCCGTTTAACTTTCGTTTTCGTCCGAACTCTCTAATTATCTCCACGCATCCGACTCAAGTCTTTTCTTCATAATGTTCAGAGAAAATAGGGAGTTTTATAGCTTTTCCTGGAGAGTGCTCAAAGGATTACCCGTTTCGGCGTTAGCTTCTTTCGGCGAGCACTTGTCCTTTCCCCTGCGTTATCCGCCTCCAGGCAATCCAGCTTAGTTCCGCTAGCGAGTTTTTTTTTACTAAATGTAGTGGCTCTCCGTTTCGTTTCTTCTGTACCACCGTTTGAAACCAGTCTAACAGCCAGTTTTTGAAACGCAAGTGAGACCAGATAATCTTTTAAAAATGTCTACTTGAAAACACAAATTATACAGGAAACTCGGTCAAAAAACTGTATTGCTTCCTACTTCTCTGGCTTCAAACTAAACTACGTCCAATCAGCTAAAAGTGACGTATCACTATCTGCCAGCAGCTCAAAATACAAAAAATATTTTATAATTTATACATCACTAAATTATGCATTTTAACAAAAGTAATATCTATAAATTCTTATGAAACCACATAACTAGTATTTTTAACCGTTTTAAAAATAAAATTATTACTACCAAAGAATTGCATCCTGTTTGGCTCTTACAGAGTCTAATGCTGAATGTTTATTGCTATCGCTTTCCCGCCTATATACGGAATGACTGGTAAAGTAGTATGTACGTTATTGTGTTTACATTGGAAGTGTTCTAATATGGGTGCGTACGATCTCAACTGTTTTGACGGAGCTCGACATCAAACATTCATACACAAACTTCTGTGAATAAATATTCTGAAAATGTCAAGTAATTGTCTTCCTAATAAACACAATGTTGCGTTTTGTTATTTCTAGTCGAACTCATATTTTTTTCCTCAGAAGTGTAGTACATGGATCATTGCCGAAGCGAAAATGTATCATTTAATGTGAATGATATCGATGTTTCATGGATCATTAGGGGTGCGTTTTGGAGGAAAATGTTTAAAATATATGTCTCACTGCGCACAAGATTGCAACGTAGACGACCAGTGGCCAATACTACGAAGCGGGGTTACTGGCTTATCGGGGTAACTTGTCGGATTTAAGGTACCCCAGTTCAAATGGACTTCATATCCGTTCTCTCACATTTTGCCCAGACTACCTTAAATCCGACAAGTTACCGCGATAAGCCAGTAACCCCGCTTCGTAGTACAGGCGACAGATCGAGTACGTTCTCTCAATCGATATGCAATTCATGTTTGTGCGTTATACCTATCTAAAGTTACGAGCCTGAGATTAATGAGTGAGAAAATCGACGCATTTCGCGTTTGTCAGGTTCTAAGGGTTAAAACATATTATATAAATGTATAAACTGAACATACAATTTCCAAACGAAATTTGCAATTATCACCCACACATGCTCAACTATTGTGCTGAAAGGGGCGGGCACAACCATATATAAGAACTGGACCCTTGCATGATTGACAGCATTATTCACCAATAAGGTTGAGCAACAAGGTGATTGGGTGGTCATTCTAAGATTTATTTATAGTGCCAATCAAAACGATAGAGCTGAAGTATTTTCCGCTCATAGACTCATAGCCCTTTTAAATGCCAGGAATAATAATAATAAATCAGTAAAAACAGCCCGTAATAATTCTACATTATTGTTTTGCAGGCAGAAAAGGTGTTTTTCTTTCTTTTAAGCGACCACTACAACACCATGAAAATGACTGAAGGTAAGCTGAGGGAGTGTTTGCAAATACAGGTAAAATAAGATGCTGTTGGCTATGGATCCCAGAGAGATGTTTTCTGGTATGTAATGATATTTGCTGATTTTTACATGTTCTTTCCTCTGGGGTAGCAGAACTGGGTAGTAACGATACAGTGCAACCCCTGGGGATCCACATCTGTCTTTTGTCCCCACCATTTTGGTGTTGTCTCTCTGGATGTTGTTTGGGCCTGTATTGATAGACTTTGATAAGTGGAAGACTGGCACCACAAGCAGAGCTTAAACTCAAAATAGATCATTTGCTACAGTGTATGTCTTTACTGATTTACTGTTGCATCCTCAAGTATGTGCTGAAGGTAATTAAATACAGACGTTGCTGATTTTCACCTGCAGAGCCGCCTTCAGACAGTGTCTATGCCTACGCCTTGTCCAAAACCCTCAGCAGGGTCCCCGCCCCAGCCACCGTGGGCCTGTACTCATCCTGCCACAGTCGCATCCACATGGTACTCAAGAGCATAGAGAGTAAGTGTGCAGCACCTGTGGCCGAGAGGAGGACCACTCATTTAAATATAACAGCACTAAATTCTGAAAACACGTGCACTGGATTGTCCGGTCAAAATCAAAAACAATATTTCAACACTATGTACCATATTGAATACTTTGCTTATATATGAGAAGTGTAGGTATGTGTTTTTGATCTATCTTACAGGAATGAGGCTCTTCTGTCAGCTCTTTTTTCTGTTCCGTAGGTCAAATGACGAAAGAAGCTCAAGAGAATGAACATCAGAACCACAGGCAATCTGTAGCTGATTTATTCAAAGTTATATTCAGGTTGCTCTTCTATCAACCAGTGGACAGACTGGACACAAAGGGAAATCAGAGGCCGAAGCCTGCGCGGTACATATTCGTGAGGTTTAGTGCCTGGCACTTTGCTGGCAGCGACATACTGTGGGCTGCTCTGGTGATGCGGCTGTATGAAGCCTTTCATGAGAACTTTGGTAAGTTCCTCCTGAGCCTATACCGTGTAACTCAATACACAACACCGATGAACAGGATAGTGAGTAGATGTGGTACCTTGGAGTGGAGGTCAAAGAAGTGCTGCTGCATTCCTTTATGGCTCTTCACACTTTTTGTACTCCTGGGGATCCTGGTAGGATTCCCATTGATATTTTGTTTCTCTAAAGAGCACATGGATGCACAAGATAGCAATATAGAGTTACACACGATTCAAAGCTTTTTAATTGGAATTATTGGACTCCCTGCCACCTACGTCATAAGCTCTGTGTTTCTTATTGTGAAAAACATTTTCTACAACCAGTATGTTAACATCAAGAAGATGATGGACAATGAGAAAGTGAGTAGCCAGCTGGGATTTATGAATGAGGTGAAGAAAGAAATGGAGATCCTTTCCTATTTCATCAGTTTCATGGAGACCTTTGAGAAAAAGAAGATACGAGTGGTGCTGGAGATTACCCACCTGGACCGATGCAATCCAAGGAGGATTGTCGGCGTGCTTGATGCCATCAACATCTTACTTTCGGATGAAGGCAGTCCATTTATTTCCATGCTTGCTGTCAATCCAGAAGTTCTTGCTGAACAACTGAATTATGCAGAAAGTTGTTTTAGTAAAGAAGACCGAGCTCATTCCTTCTTGAACCGTCTTGTGACGTTAGCTTTCACTATACCTGAGCTGTGTGATTCTTCCAAGCGAAATATCATAAAAAGGATTTCCTCAGGACACTTGGAGCTTCCAGATGACATTGAAGATAAACCACTGTCCTCTTCCTTTGAGAAATATTCAGAGGAATGCCATGTTATTTTAACTGAGAGAAAAGACCCAGAAATTAATTTGAATGAGAAAGATACTGAGAACCTAATAGAATCGGTTTTTCAGTGTATCCGTGATAAATGTATTTTCCGTAAGTATATTATGGGAGACACTATGTCTATAAGAAGAATAATTACCTCTGTTAGAATGTCAATCATCATTATGAAGACTTTGGGACACGACTTGCCCTCCGCAGAGCACACGGCCGCTTGGGTGGTTCTAGCTAATCAGTGGCCATGTCGGCTGAGCTGGATCCTCCAGTGCATGGAGGATGACAAACAGAACGCCGAAATAAACCAACAAAGCTTTGATACCTCGAAAACTTTATGGCAGGTCTTCAGTGAATCCAGGGTGGAGCTGTACATGATCAGAGACAGGGTCCGTCCTCTCTTGGAACAAGATGGTGACCCTGAATTGTTTGAAATGTTTCTGAAGGTTAATTTTACATTCACCATCAACGATGCAAACAGGTTGAAATTGTCCACTGTGAACCTGGACCACTCCATCCAAAGGCAGCTGGCTAGGATCAAGGGAATGTCCAGTCTGAAAGACACAGTTAGCCAAAAAACACCCATACCACTGCCAGTCAAGGCCGTCATCAACATGAGCATGGAGGACATCTGTGGGGAGGTAAGACAAGTCATTTTTAAGCTGGGTGTGACATGCATGGAGACCAGAACAGTTACCCAAAAAATTTACGTACAATTCTACTCCATTTCTCAGATGCTATGCACAGTGTCATGTGATCTCTGCTCTGAGTGATTTGCAACTAGGGCAGCGTTTCTCACACCAGTCTCAGGGGATTGGGAGAGAACATAAAACTTAGTCTTGATAGGCTCCTGTGATTGGCTAAATAGTTCAGTTCTTCTTATGCTTTGACTAGTTTGTTTCCTTGATTGAAAGACTCATCCAGCTGTGTCACATTTATATTAGTGGCACATGCATGATTATAAGAGACCAAATCGATACCCAGCAAGGACTCAGTGCTTAAGTGAAATCCAGGTCCCTTTGATTGAAATGGCAGTTCTAGCTCAAAGTGTCCTCCCTGACATGGATTAGGTGGTAATCCTCCATGCAGTATACCTGACTCCAAGTTGTTTCTGATCATTAGCTGAAGAAACTGAAGCTTCCTGACCTCTATGTTGAACGGGTGCAGAAGAACATGCTGGATGGGTGTGCACTGGTCTACAGTGATAACAGTGAGATCCAGAAGATGCTGGAGATGCCCCTGGGACATTGGACAGCCTTTGCCATCCACTTCCTGGGTGTTACCCCACCTGCCCCTTCCTGCCTGATTGCAGGTGAAGACAAAGCAGATGTAGCATCACCAAAAAGTCACATTTCCATATGTAGTGAATCAAGTCACATTTATAGAAGCTAGGAGCTGTAAACAAAGACAGCACTTTCATCCATTTCATATGTATAGTTTTAATGTGCAGTTTCACAACAGTTTGCATCTTCAGTGTATATTTGCTGTAACCTTGTTCTTCACAGAGCTCGTTATTGTTAAACTGAATATCCCAGATATAGAAACAATATGATAGACTGAAAAAGTAAACAATAAATATTACAAATGGACCAAAAATCACAAAAAAATTTTGAATGAATTAATGTAACTTGTAGCCCAACCTCCTGAATATGATTAGAGGGTTGAACAGTAAAAGTATTTATATAACCCCGAGTTTGTGGTGCTGCTTCATCTCTCTTTCCTGTAATTCTGAGTGCCAGTGTTTCAGACAGGTAACATTTTGTTAATGTTTCATTAATCTGCTTGCCAGGTATGCTCTGGAAGCAGCCGCACAGCTTTCCGCACACTGACACGTCACACAGGCTGTCTGACCCCGCACTAGTGACATAGCGACGGCTATCGTGCAATCCAAATACACGGCTGTACATACATTGAACACGGAAGGCTACGTAAATAACGGGAATCGTAACTATATGCTCCTTATTGCTCACCAAACTTTATTTTCTCAATAGCCATGCACTGCATGACTAAATTCCCTGAATTTGATACTTTAATATATATATTTCATACAAATTTATGCCTTTACAATATCACATTTTCCATTCATACAAAAAAAAGCAAAAACGAAATTCATGTTAAAATTTCAAATACAGAAAAATTCAGAGAAGTACAGAGACGTCAACAGTAAACATATGTACATTCAAGAAATGACTATTCATCTATAAAATGCTTTTAAATAAATTCAAGGTAACATAAGAGCGTTACTAGAAATAGCAGAAATGAAAGACGGAGAGGAGAAAACGTGGAATGAATTTCCACATCTCGAGTCTTCATTCGTGCAGAGGAAGTTGGTTTAAATTTCCCTCTGTTCTGGCCTGTTCAGCCCAGGTAAGGTTAGCTCAAACCTGCGTCAGGAGAGATAAATGGAGGGATGGACTGAGCACATGCCTGCGGATCTTCTCTGTATGTCACGTTAGATTACTAGATGACCTCATGCAGGCCAGCCCCTGCACTCCAAAATTCCAGGAGGACTTACTACACTTCAACTGCAAAGCCTGACCAAGCTGCACATTACAGATTTTTACTGGCTGATTTTCTCAAGCTTGATTTGCTTCTTTGATTTGATTTGCTGACTGTTCTTTTTAAGCTCTTTAATGTCTTATCTTCATTCCTCTTGTTGCATTGAGCATGTTGTAAAACAAAAGAATTTCCCTCGGGATAAATAAAGTTCTTCTTATCTTAGCTCATGTAGTTTGTAGCCATTAACAGTTATGTCATCCTGTAAGTAATTTTATAACAAGCTGTTAGTTCTGTATATGAGATGCTACTCGTCTGTGTTGATCAGGATTAATAAAGTTACATTCATAATTCAAGCTACATTCATTCGAGACTGATATTTCAACCCCTGTATTAGCTTAGTCATATCATCTTGTTTTGTTTGCCTCATCTGCCGGCCCCTGGAGGATGGGCTCCCCCTTTGGGTCTGGTTCCTCCCAAGGTTTCTTCCTCTTAGGGAGTTTTTCCTTGCCACCGTTGCCTTTGGCTTACTCAATGGGGGGTCCTTACGTGGCAGAAATGTAAAGCGCATTGAGACAATGTACTATTGTGATAATGCGCTATATAAATAAAATTGAATTGAATTGAATTGAATTCAAGTGTAGCTGAGTTTCCCCAGATTTTCCAGTGCAGAGGACACATTCAAACATATGGTACAAATGCTGATTAAAACTATCAGACCGCATTTCTGCCTTAAAAGGCAAACACAGTAAATCCCCTGTCACTGAAATTGAGAAAAATGGTGTCTTGTCTTATTTTTACTGTGGATTTTGTAATTATTGTAATGTGCACACTCCATTTTCTTCAAAGCCAAGCATAGCCAAACTAAGAGTTTGTCACAAGACAGAACAGAGACTAAGAGACACAATTTTGGTCATAACTCCAGTTTAATAATGCCATTTTATCACTGTTAGTCATAGTTAAATGAGTAAAGCTGCTCTTACCAGTCAGTGAAGCCTTTGGTTAGGTCCTTATCGGATAAATCAATCATTACCTATTCATGAAAAGGGGCAAAGTCTTAACTGAAACACCAAATACACAGTGAATCAAATGATACTGTTCATTATACTATAATTCATACAACGTTTCCTCATTACATACCATCCCAATGTCCTTTCGTTCACGTTTGCGGAACATGCTGTTGTTTTTCACGGCTACATCTAACTTCCTGGTCTTTACCGATTCTAACGGTCCAGAAAATTCAAACCTACAAGACATGAGAACGTTGCCAGAAATGAGAAGAGGCGGAACAGGGCTTTGTGTACTCGGCCCGGACAGAAGACGAGCCGTACTTCTCATTGAAGACCGGATTCATGGTCTTTTTCCTCACGGACGTCTTCATCCTGTGTTTCCAGGACTGGTCAGGAAGCAGGTAGATACGGACGTAGGTGTCAGAACCTTCATCGCTACAGGGGAACAGGCTCCTGCAGATCACAGAAGACATGCTACTCTTAAAAAAATGGGCATCTGTCGCAGTTGCTTCTCACACGAAGCCCACAGAAGAGGAAACAATGGAGGAATCTTCTATGAACTTATCACACCATGAAGTTCATTTCCATCCATTTTCTAACCACAACTGCATGTAATAAAGGCAATGCAGAGATGCAAGTTCACATAACTGTGTAAGAAAACCCAAAGGAAACTTGGAAACTCATACAACACAGAGAGGACTCAGGTTTCAAACTCCCAACCCTGGTGGTTGGAGATGACCACATGTTTTCCACTAAGTCACTGTACAACCCTAAAAAAAAGGACATAAAATTTCTTGGTAACATTATAACTTCTGCATGCAGCCCACTCACCTGCAGGCATTCACGACAACGATGAGCTTCTTCCTCAGGGCAGTGTACCGCACAGTCAGATGAATCGCTCCAAAGTCCCCCTGGTGGTTCAGGATGGCCCTGCAGTCAACCCAAGACCAAAGCTCAAACATCACACCATGACACCCAAAGGAATCACACAAGCACTGCTACCAGACATTATCCAGGATAAATCAGTAAAGCATGACAGCTCTGTAGTAAAGCACAACAGCTCTGATTTAAGAACAACACCACCACTGCGCCGAGGACTCACTCAGGATAGGGCTCTGTCAGGTCGAAGCGCGACGATGCCATGGATTTATCGGAGAGAATGTTGTGGGAGTGCGAAAGGTGCGAGAGGTCCCTGTAGCTGGCCGTGGAAGAGTGCATCGACTGCGTGTCAGACGCCGACTCGGTCCGATGGGGGGCGTACTCTGATTGGAACTTCCTGGGGGCATTGACCAAGGGGGCGCTCGGCAGGGCATCTGGATGGGCATTGGTTAGTGTATTGGATGAGGTACTGGGCAAAGTACCATGATGGGCATTGGTCAGGGTACTGGGTGAGGCTTTTGGCAGTGTACTGGGGGTGCTCTGTACTCCAGGGGTGGAAACGGTGTTTTGCAGATGTCCCTCTGAGGTCTTCTGGGTTTGAGAGCCAGGGGGGGGACTCATGCTTTTAGGCTCTGGCTTTTCTGGCTTCAGGATCTGTGGGAGAGGACACTGTCAAGGCAAGGGCATCATCGGCTGATACAGACCCAGCAGAACCAGAAAGTATGAGCCATTGACCATTTCTTCAGGAAAACAACTGCAGGACACACCCCAATCCCAATGAATGTCAACTGGGAGTCAACAACCTGTAGTTCATTATCATTTTATGCTCACTCTGAGGGAAGCTTTCATCTTGAGATGACTGTTGGCTCCTGAGCGCTCCAGCAGAAAGCGCTGGTCCAGCGTCATTTCAGAGACGGTGAGGAGGCGAGCGAGAGGCAGCGTGAAAGTGCCCAGTAGTGTTTTCTTCTCGTGCTGTTTAACCTGGATTCCCCAGAAGAAAAATCACTCAGCAGGAATATGGGACTAAAACAGGAACCAGAAATAAGAAGTTGTGCAAAACAAACCTGCAGGGCGAACTAGACTAAAGGGAAACTCAAAATTCAAGAAAACCCACTAAAATTCATGCGTCCCAATAATGATGAATAGTGGTGACATCACATCATGCAAGGGGTGAATCCAATATCCAATGCGAATTCAATCTGAAGACAGGTAACAATAAAGCTTTTTTTTTTTTTTTTTTAAAAAAAAAGGGGGGGGGGGAAGCGGGACAGAGGGCAAAATTCGGTCCACCCTCCCTCCCACGCAACACAAAGATCTGACTCTTCACAGCAATATCCTTACCTGCACGTGAAGAGACTGGTTTGTCACACTTTGAACGAAGAAAGTGAAACACTCCTCCCAGACTGGGTCTTTGGATGCAAACGCCACCTGTTGACGAGCGATGGGAGGACAGGCGAATGGTGAAACAAAGATGGAGGAATGCCAGTTAATAATGTCATCAATACAGAGAGCACAACTAAACACTGCCCGAGAATGACACTTAAACATCCACACCTTGCTTTTCTGACTCTGTTTGTCAACAGAGACTTCCACATAGGAGTCCGGGTTGGCATTTCTCCTGGTTACCTATGAAGATGATGAAAAAAAAAAGACTTTTATTTAGGTACTAACCAGGATTTCTTCAGTCAATAAAGCTGTACTTTTCTGAATAGAAAATAAAAATTCCAGATAATGAGGTCACTTCATTAATAGCAAAACAATATCACGTTTAATGTTCCCCTAAGTTTTTCACTGAAATCACCAGTCACACTGCGTGCCGCACTGTGCTGTGGCAGCATATGACCACTAGAGGGATGAAAGTCACCTGTGGCACAACAGCATAAAACGCAAAGAACCTAAATCTTGTGCCCGACCCTGGAGCAGGAACCAGAGACAAACAGGGTGGGGTGCAGAAAGTATTCATTTCTGAAACCTTGATACCTTAACAGGGCTGGCAATGCAGGCAAAAAAAAAACCCTTACCAGGGGTTTGGTTGGTGCAAATTGCAGTAACATTTTGAAGAGCTGTTTATCAAATGTTTATAGTATGCCACCTGCAATAAACTTAATACCAGAGGCAGCTGCTGACCAAGACATTTACTATAGCAAATTCCAAATATTAGCATATTCATTACATTATAGTCCTAATCATTTTCCATTGGTTGCTAATTCCACACAAATGTTCCCCTATTTAAGCTGTTTATCAAGCCTTCAATTGTGTTGCTATTAACCTGGTGAGCATTGAAAGCAAAACTGATGAAAATTGTGGTTGGAGTGACGATTATAATATGAGTAGGGCTGCATACCTTTACGTTAGCGTTTTGCTCTACATTACATGTACAACACAGACACCACAACAAAAGCCAGAACGCTGCCATATTTGGAAAGAGCATCTGTCAACTCCATGTAGTTTCCTTTATTGTCAGAGTTTTCACTGTCATCGTGTCCCATAAATGCCAGCTCTAGGAAGATCGTTTGTGCTTGATGAAACACATCCTGTAATGGTTCAAAATGGAGAACTAGCAAGAGTGTGCATAACTGGTAAGACTAGGTGAGGCACTACTTCACCAATTAAAGTTGAAGCATATTAGCTTTCTGAACTGAATGTTTTGTTTCAATGAAGTTACCTTATCAACCAGCAGGTCATGCTGTTTTGCACAATACTTTTTTTACATTTTTGGTTTTTATGGAAATGGTTGTTGTCATCATACATCGGCATCATAAAGATATCAAATGATATGAATGTTACGGTTTTCATTTCTTTTTTGTGAAGCACTGCTTCACCTGTTATCTTAAAGAAACTTCCACTGCTTGACACCCTCCATAACTTTTTCCTCACAGAAATTTGTACCTTGGTCTCCTTGTGGTGTTTTCCTGGTTTCTCAGTATGGCTGAACTCACTTTGGTTCTTCTGCAGAGGAGAGAGACTAAGTCAGTTGGCTGCCTTGTGACGATGAAGCGCCAAGAGAGCACCACTAAGAAAAATTACTGTATAAACAATCCTGCAGCAGCTATAACACAAAGAAGATTTCAGAAGATCAGTGCCTCTGACATCACCACCACACTTACTGGCAGATTGGAGGCGCTGTCCACATACACAGCAAGCATAGCACAAGAACAGCCATCCAGGGTCTGAAACAGACATGAGACAGGGAGTCGGAAGACAAAAGTGGGCCCAATTGATACTGGAGCACCTAGACAAAGCACAGACTATGGCTCTGTCCCATTTGTCCCACTTGGTCCCCACGTAATGCTACCATACTTGGCACACATGCTCATGCACTTACTGCAAGTATTCAAGGGTGTCCCGTTCCTCAAATAAGCCAAGTGCAGGGAGCTTGAAGTGCACTTTATCCACACTTGGACAAAGACCACTTCCATGTGGTACTGGCCAAAGTATATAGACCACAATAAAGTACATCAATGACGGCTAATGTTTACATCGAACGCGGGGACGTCTGTCAGCATATCAGAGCGCAATATATTTCCTAAGAGGTTTCAATTTGAGTGTGCAAGGTTGTATAATGAATATTTACGTAGGCTAAGCTACAGTGAAGAACAACCCCAAACACAACCAACACCATGACAGCATACAAGACATGACAGTTTTACATACACAAAAATGTTCAGATTGGAGAGGAGGTGGGTCTAATCATTAGCGGAGGTGGGACCAAGACATCAGATTGGTTGGTCCCACCACCCCTAGTTGCTTGGGCAATTATTTTTCGCAAAGCTACCATGAGCTGAAAACACATTTTGCAAACATGAAACAAGTGCTATGTTTTGATAGGATTTCAGAAACATTTCTTTTCAATTTGAGCAGTTATTGAATTACTGAGAACTAACACCTGCCTTTTATATACCTGTCAGACTCCTATATTTGTTTCTATAGGCGCAGAAAAACAGCAACACTGATGCGCACACCTTAACGTGCAGCAACAGCTCATATGGCATATCCTAGAGTGTTGGTGATGATTGCTTTTAGAAATGTTTATTCATACAAGCTCTTTGCTAAAACTCTGCAGAAGATGTCAGTGCATGTGTACCCATAATTCCCTGCAGTATGGCTCTAACCTCCACGAGCAGTTTGGGGTCCGTTTGAAGTGACATCCACTGCAGATTCAGATGGACCTTCCCATGGTCCACTCCTTCCAGTGGAAACCACTGCAACGTACAGATTGGGTGTAAATCTCACATTTCAAGATTCTGGACTTTACACTAAACCAGGAGGAGGTAACACACATAAAAGCAAGAACTCTGCTTGTAGGGTGTCAAGCGACCTGGATTCAAAGTTCAACACCATACACTGATACCTTCTACCATTCAGAAAATTGCCTGCATGTCTTTCGAAATGACATTAGCCCAGCTTCAAGATGAGATATTCATCTGGAGCTCCTCTCGTAGTGCATGCAGAGGTTCGACACATTGCAAAATCTTTCATATTTCATGATTACCTCACCTTGTCCATAACTCGCAACTTCTTCACTTCTCCAAAATCCAGATTAAAGCTGAGGACACAAAACCAAATCTTAACATTTTACTTAAGTCCTGATATATTGTCAATCCATCACAGCTGTATGCTGGCAGCAAGCGTTTCTCCTCTTGTGGGAGATTTAAATTAAATAGGATTTTCATGAAAATGCTGTTCTCACCGGCCCAGGAAGTCGTCCTTGTCCGTGTCTTCATCATAAAGCTCTACTTCCAGCTCCTGCCCTGGTGCCTCGTGGATCACAAACTGTAGAGACAGATGGACTTTACTGATCCCGAGAAGAAAATTCAATTAACCAACTGAGCTAAATCCGCAACCTTCAATACCAGACAGTCTGCAACTACCAAACACAACGCAGCTGTAAAAACAGAGTTCAGAAATCAATTGTTTTTCATATTTTTCCACATCAACAACTGGCAGATGTTAACCGTCCAACCATTCTGGTGATTTATGCCCAATTTGCTGCCCATATTGTGAAGCTGCCCAGCTTGGGGCTGTCATCTAGTGGTCACTCAAGGTCAGATTAAGCCATATACAAGGACAGACCCTTTCTGACAAAAGAGATGTTTCCCACTGAAGTTCAGGAACCTAGTGCCTGGTTTCTGGAAGTTCCTCGACCATATCTACTGGGAACTTCTTCCACTTTCATGTTTCTCTTACCCACACTGCACAAAGCTTGTAGGTCAAACTTCACATGAAAATTTCATACAAAATTATACCACCAACCAAAAAACAATGGAAGATTGAACAAGTTCTGTTGTTAGTTACTGGGGGGATCGATCGTGCAGTCTGAAAAACAGGACCCAGCCTTTTATCTATATTTTATTTATACGACCCACAACCTACTTATAATTCATTATTAAATCTGGCCAGCAGATCGATCTTCTGTTTTTCACAGAACAGAAATTGATAACGTTATTCCATTAATCAGCACTGGTAAGATTCACTGCCAGTTCCGGTGATGATAAACAAAAGTATATCGGTTATTGATTGAATTTTACAATGCAGAAATACGGACATGCAAACAAAAACATAGGCATTGATGCATTAAATGTAATTGTGACATGAAAATAATTCCATCAGCTCAATTTTTGCTACACTACTTCTCTTTTCTTAGTTAGTGCTGGTGCTTCTCTTCAGCTAATCAGCAAGTTTATCTGTATAAGCGCTACACAGTAGTTCTTGGTAGAGCGAAAAGTACCTACTCCAGAGGTGGGACTAAAAAACAGGTTCCAGAACTATCTCAGAGGAATCATAATTGAGGCAAGTTCCAGTGGAGGGAACATGACATAAGTTCCGGGTCCCTGAACAAATCCCTGGTTCTGGAAAAAAGATCCTGCAGTGGGAAAGTAGCAATAGACCTATCATATCCTAGTTGTCACGACAGAGTTTGGTAAGTGTTGCTTGTTAAGGCATGATGGGATGTTTCCTCACCTCATAGACCTCGTGCCAGCAAGGGTCTAGAGTCTCCTTTATTGTCTTGCTGCGTTTCTGGGTGCTGCCCACTTTCAGGATGGCATACGGGTCTGACTTCCCCTTCATCAGCCCCATCATGTAACTATCCATGGCAACCAGATCTTGGGCCTCCACGAGGTGGACTCGAGCTATCCCCTAGAGCAGACTCAAGTTAGTCTCACAAATGAACACTCACAGTGTAGTTAATGGTGCTGCAATGTCACACATCCCAGTGCAAAGCTAAACCAACCCCTTAGCGGCCCCAGCAGCCAAGGAGACCTACCCGAGGAAGGGGAAAGCGCATCTGCTCCACCTTGACCTGGTCTACTAGGGGGATACACATGCGGTTGGGCAACATCATCATGGAGGCGATCACATCCAAGATGGCGGATTCTGTCATGTTACTGAGCAGGGGACGAAGAGAGGGGAGAAACTGTCATGAGTAGGAGGGCTCAGCTACACAAAAAATAGGTCTAATTTTCAGTACTGAGAATCGGTCTGCAACACCATTAACAACTCATAGACCTACAGAATCTTCACCTAAATAGGGTGCCTAAATATCAGACAAGCATGGGAAAATATGTGGCTAATTTACTGCACCCTGACACAGTGATCTTCAATTAGAGAAAAAATATCTATATAGTACAAGGTTCTTCAACTCTGGACCTCGATTCCAAATCCAGGCCATGTTTTCAGTTCTCCCAGGTAGGTAGTTTAATAATGACTGATTCTGATTGGTCAGAGGCTTCACACCTGACTGACAGGTAAAGGAAGGCTGGAAAACCAGCAGTGCTCGGACCTCGAGGACCGTGAGTTGAATAACCCTGATATAGTACATTATAGTGCTTCTTATGGGTCATTTTCCTATAGCATCCTAAATATCTGCTAAAACTTTTATACAACTAGAAATTTGGCTAAGCCAGATTAGGCAGGAACTGGTAAACCAGTGACATTCTGGTCTTCACCAAGGACCCTTAGCTCTGAGAACTATCCTTCTTCAGTGAGAAGGTCTTTGGGGCAGGTAGGGCTTACTTCAAGGTCCTTCCTAAAACTAAACAAATGTAGAAAAACGCAGCTGCACAAGCCATACTTTAGCGCTGGTGAATCCAGGAAATTGGTCACTCCTGTCCAGTTTATTTCCAGAGTCTAAATATACATAGTACAAAACATCCATCAAGATACAGCAAGCATGCATGCATCAACAATTTCTGGAAAACAAATGTATATAAATAACAAGTAATCAAACTTAAGTAATAACTGTGATATTTACTTGCTTCTCATCTACTCACCGGTCGGCGTATAAAGAACATTGTGATCCCGCCCACCAAGGGAGACTGGCCAATCAGGGGCTGCAGAACCACACGCAGCATTCCATGAAGCTGAAACAGAAAAGATGTTGCCCCAGACTGCCGTTTTAGATCACACCAAATACATTTTGGCATTATCAGAGGTAAAAAGCTCAGGTTTCCGACAGTAAAAATCCAGACTAAGATTTTGTTCCAACCAATCAGTTGAGTACTCTGTGATTCTTTAGATTCAGGTAGTTGGTTGAAAAGAGATTTTGGTCTGGATATTTACTTTTTGGATCTGAATTTTCCAACTCTGCTCATTACTTATTAATTAATTAAACCCCTCCAGTATCTGTTAGAAATATTCAGGGACAAATGGACATGAAGAAATGCCCATAACATAGGAAGAAGAAAAATCCCCACACAGACAGAGCTGGGCGTAGATTTCAAGCATTTCAGAGTCCCAGCCAAACTCTCTCTTTTTCTCACTGTGTACAGTGCAGGGGCACCTTTGCACCAAATGGGGAAGCAATGGAAGAGCCATCACTGGGCACCAGCAGGTCAGAGGGCCTGACAGGGAAGTGTGTTTTTGTAACTGTGAAGTAGTGAGTGCAGCGGAACAAATTAAACAGTAAAGGGCATAGTCCAGGTTCAAACAGGAGCGGATATTCATAACAATTTACATATGGATGAGGGAGCAGTTTATCTGTTCCTTAGGGACCAGACTGAGAATAAAGCTAACTTTAGTCCTAAAAGAGGAAGTGTCACAGAACCAACCAAGCGTAAAATCCAGGAGTATAATTTGACAAACAAATATGGCAGAGAGAGAAAAAACAGCCAGATACGCATGCATAAACAAATAAACAAACAAACAAATAAATAAATAAAAAGGTCTTCAGCTTGTTGTGAAGATACTTAAATATCACACCAAGCATAAGAGAATATGCGGTTAAGTATTTTCTAAGGTCAGGACGCAGAGACAGCATCCCAGCGAAGGATCCGGAACACATCACCGTCCACTTAGTATAGACAAGAACTGAGGACCAGAAGATTAAGCCAAAGTTATAAGGAAAATTCACATCCACAAGATGTGTAAAAAAAAATCATGAAAACAGCACATCAAAGATATAGAGCATATTTATGACACAAAAGGAAAACTGGTTTTTCCTGCTCTGTTTGATTGCTTGGGAGTAGTCAGACATTCAATCGCAATCTTTGTTCGAAAGAATGCAAATTATTCAACTCTGATTGGTTGGCTGTTGACAGAAGCCCTTTCCCATAGTCCAGGTGGAGTACCAGATGGATGGATGGGGCTTGTTTGACCAGTTTGGCAAGATGACTCAGAAACACTGAGGAGTTTGAGCAGTGCGTCAGGAGAGCGTTGACACAGCACACAGCTGGGTGTACAGGGCACAAAACATAAGGGACGAGAGGAGACGGAGAAGATGGGACAGGGCTGCCCCAAGCTGCACACACCTCCAGACTTTTCACTCCAGCAGTGATTGGTTTCTTCACGTCGGCATCAATGTCCACATCACCCACATAGCTGCCAATCAAAAGAAGAAAAAAAAAAAACCCCAGAGATTACCTTCGCTCTCTGGGTAAACATAACATGTCAAGACTGCGCCGCTCAAAGTTAGCATGGCTGGATGTTTTTATCTTGTCTTTCAGAGAACAAGTCTTTTAAAGAAGGCAGGAGACTTCAGTGCAATGTGAACTGTTCTTTTAATAACAATTTTGCCCTGACACACACAGACACACGTATCACGTTAGTTGCTTCAGGTGAACAAGCCCCTGCATAGCTCAGCTTTGTTTTCAGGCCCTGGGGTGTTTCGTGGAAAACCTTCATTCCTGGTCTCTGAGGATGCAGTGTTTTAGGTGGCTGACATACCTGAGATTCAGGTCTAGGACGACTTCTCTCTTGTCCACTTCCTCAGTATATGCCTTCACTCCAGTGATCTTCAGGGGCTGAATCAAAACACAAAGCACACTGAACAACATGGAATGTTGGAATTTTACTGAATGGAATTTAACCATGACTCACACTCTATTATGGGAGTTTCATTTACCATCGTTGCATTATCATTGCAATACTGAGCATATATGCACTTATAACACAGTAAACAGCAATATTACAGTCATGTTTTATCCCCTTGACTGGGCTAAGATAAGCAAATTAGAACATGGAAGGATTTACATTTGATTTACTGTTAATTTAAGATTCATATACCCATTTCTCAAACAATTATGCAACAGAGGTACATATTCTTCTTAATTTTATATTAATTGTAGAATTATTAGACTACAGAGGAAACTAATCAGGGGGAGTAAGGAAACATTGCTACTGTACTGGATCCCAGGAAAAATTCCCCCAAATGTACTACTAATGATGGTGACGTCAAAAAAGTGAAAGCAAAATAACTCAACCTTCTGGCCAAAGTGCACTTTGGTAAAGGTGAAAGTTTTGAGGGCAGGGTTAGAACTCTGGATGGATGGCTGGACCTTCTCCTTCAGGAACTTTTCCATGAACATTCCAAAGAACGGCCAGGCTTGCAACAGGATCTTTGGGGAAAAAAGCAAGCAGGCTCTCGAGGCATGAAGCAGCAGACATTTCTGAAAGTGGAGCAGTTTTTGCAGACAGTGCACAGATACTGCTGCCTTAGGATCAGATGATGCATCATGTCATGTGCTTTACAGACTGCAGCTGTAATCCCAAAACCAGAAAGTTTTATATACAGTCATGTGTCACTTAATGACGTGGATACCTTCTGAATATACCAGATAAAAAGTAGAGTATAGCAAATAAATAAACCAGTAACATTATTTATTATTATTATTATATTATTATTATTAGTAGTAGTAGTAGTAGTAGTAGTAGTAGTAGTAGTAGTAGTAGTATTAAGTATGGGAGCACCAACATACAAGTGGTCCATCGTTGACCAAAATGTCAGTATGTGGTGCGTGATTGTAATTATAAGAGGGCGATGGAGAGAAATAAGAGTGTTACCTTATTCAGCCATTCGACCTTTTCAACCTCTGGGAAACTGACCTGGAGTAGAGAGAGACAGAGACAGAGAGACATAGAGAGAGATGATACAACAATTCACCATTATTGAACAGAAAGAACTTTTTGGGCAAAGTATGATAAAAAAAAATGACATTACAAATGAGTACATGAACGGCTTGGTTAAGAAGGCAGCCTGACAGTGTTCCGTTGTTCACTGTTTTCATGCCATTATTGAATCTATACTTGTGTGTCTGCTGTCCAATACCCAGACATACAACTTATGCATCTCTTTGACCTTTGCTGCCCGTCGTGGAGGTGGGAGGACATTATAAACTGCTTTTCAGTCAAAACAGGTTTTGGTTCCACCCCAGAGGGGACATACCCTTACCAGAATCACATCTGCATTTACAGAAACAAAGTCTGGACAGTTTGTGTTCTCCTGAATTACAGTAATCAGCTAGGAGTAAATAACGCAGAATTATGTCTATAGTACACAAGTTAAACCTTTTTGGACGTATTTTGACTGGTCACTGTCATGGTCATTAGTGACATAAGCCCACATATTCGCCTTTAAAAAAGCAGCTACTAATCTAGCAGAACTACAGCAGAAAGGATCCAGACATTAGACTGATAAGGACGTCTGAACCAAAGTACTTTGACTACAGAAATCACTCACTTAAACCCCTCCCCCCGCATCGGCATGGCACTCATATCTGATTTGCATATTTACAGAGAAGTTCCAAAAACATCACCACATCCATGGAAGGATTAAAGGAGACCTTACTAGGTAGCGCCTGTCCTGAAACACAACTAGAAGACCACAGGAGCAGAAGATCCAGGTCAATTCATGCAGAGATTGATCAGCTGTCTAAAGCAGTGTTTCTCAAACCTGGTCCTTGGGGACCCCCAAACTATTCACACTGTTGCTGTTGGAAGGGAGGGAGCGAAAATATATACTGTCTGACAGGAGGCTGGAGGGGAGCAAAAAAGTTGACAGCTGGGGGTCGCGAAAGACCAGGTGGGAAAAAAACTGTATTTAAAGATCAAGACAAATTGCAATTTTAAATATATATGCAATTGATACTTTTCCATCACTTCCCTAAAAACACCAGAGTGAGAAGCATCATGCAATTAAGCAGGCCAGCTAACATGTCACACCAGTCAGAATGGATCCATGGAATGCTGGAGGCATATGCTAATGTGCAATTATCAAATAATTAGTTAATTACTAAACCGGTGAATGGCCATGTCCTACTAATTTGTTCCAAAGGTGAAACATGCAAGGGGAAGCAGCACAGGACAGACTCTTACTGCAAAGTCACGCTTGTAATTCTCACAAAACCACAACCTGTCTCACAGCATTCTGGGAAATGTGGTTGTTTTACAGCATTGTTTTAAAATCTATACAGCCAATTTAAAAAAATGTTTTGTTTCAGAAACATTTAGTTAACATTAACCTGTACATTATGTTAAATGTATAAGGAGAAATCTACTGAAACTTCATTACATCAGCATCGCAATATTATTCACCTTGTACTATGCAGACTAGCAAACCTCTGGCTTACGTCTTTGCACATTAACTCACTCAAGTTTGTGTACACCTCACAGGTGAGCAATATATAATACAGAAAACAAATGGGGAAATAGCCGCACCGTCACAAAAAACCATAAAAATCACAGATTATGACGTAAATAATATAATGAGGTAAACCATTTAGAACAGGAAAAATCAAGTTCTGGTCGTTATTCAGTAGGCCTGGCTGATGTTACAGAGGGAACCAAGCACATCTAGATGTGGCCTCCTCAGCAGTTCAGCTCTGAAAAGCGCTTCTCAACTCACATCTAAACTTAAACTAAGAGAGATCGAGTCTGTGGACATGTTCGCAGAGGAAAAAGTGGTTAGAGTATTTAAAATTTAAAAGCAATTAAATCTGAGGGCTGCGGAGATTTTTTATCAGGACATTAAGTTACATGCAGTCCAGACAAATAAATACGCAAACAGTAAACACCCTAACAACAAACAAGCCACGCAGACAACAAAAAACCCAAACTTGATCTAATATATTAATGCTTCTAAGCAGGGTGGTGGCTATTAAAAAGAAAAGAATGAGTGTGATCGGGGATTCTGTTTTTCTCCAGTCTGGTGGCATGAACCTAAGAGCGGTAATAAAAGCCCCGCAGCGCCACGCACCCACGCCGGCATGTTGAGCGCCTTCAGCTCCCGTTTGATCACGCTCTTCTCGTCCTCCACGAAGCCCACCGCCGTGTCCAGCCGGGCGCTCTTGCTTCGCTGGTTCTTGCCCCACAAGGTCCACATGAGCAGGCACAACAGCACCCAGCTAATGCTGAAGCCCAGGTAGCCGGTCAGGTATACCGGGTAGAGGACCAGGAGGAGCTTCCCGAAGTGCATTAGGAACTCCATCGGCATCTGGTTCACGGCGGCGCCCGGGCTGGGCTCCTTCTCCGTGGCGGCTCCCGGAGGATTCATGGTTTCCTAGTGTCAAACGATTCCTGGAGATAGGAGTCAGGTGCTGCAGCAGCATAGACCTGGGTCAGATCTTTGAAAAGAGTCAACAGGTGATTGTATAGCCCATCACCAAATTGTGTTTTTTTCCCACTATTTATAATCTACATCTAAACATGTCTTTGGTGGATAAGCCGAAATCTCGATTGGATACGGGGAACTTTCTGACTTCCGTGTTGTGAGCCGCGGATCTCCACACCCACCGACTGCTCCACGCCCTCTCCACTCCCAGGACCTACCAGGTGCCGGTAGCACCGTGACCCAGGCGGAGTCTAACCCGTGTAAGACAGCCGGTGTCGGACAGCCGATGCCCGTTTGCGTGGAGATCCGTGACCCAGAAACGGAGAGGTGTGACAGAGTGGGGGAGGCGCTCAGCTTACCCTGCACACCATGCAGTGTTCGAATTGGGGAGGTGGGTGGACAAAGTAAAAGTTATTAATTTGCTGCTTTAGCGATTCTGCTAAATTGCCAATGATCGTTCAGATTTGGCTTATCTCGGGTGGTTGGCAGACGACCCTTTTGTGTCGGCACTCCCCCCTTGTAGCCGCCCCCCTACCGCTTTCCCCTGTAATCTTTAAAATCGGCGGTACAGACCAGCACCCATGGGCGTAACTTTGGCTGGAACATTGGGGTAATACTACATATTATGCACTATTGATATGGTCAGACTTTCTTTTCAGTAAAAACCACCATTTAGTAATACGGCCATACACGCCCTGGGTTGTGGGTTCAGTACCTGATTTATAAAAATATGTGGAATGATAGTGTGAATCACATTTACCATGTTAAGCCAACCACTTTCACTAGGTATTCGGGTATTTCAGTACTCCTTGATATCTCGTTAGAAGACAATATGCATATATGTAACAGCTGTAATGTGATGGTTTAAACTCCAAGTTCTGTAAACCCCCCTTTTTAAACCTTAAACGGTTTCATCTTGATCAACAGTCTAGACCAGTCCATCCCAGCACACACCACTCCACACAGAGAGGTGGAGCAGTCTGAAGGTATTATGCCAAACCAGCACGCATCTTGGGATTTTTCTTTCTTTCTCGAAGTTCTAAATGTAACAATCATGGCAATGCTGTTACTGAACCGAACTGTAATTTTTAAATATACCACATGAGGGCACTGTTTATCTACATTATTTCCAGCTGCACGCTATGCGGGTCTGCATAACACAAGGCTGGGATCCACCCTGGATGTGATGCCAGTCTGTTTCAGGGCACATGTATGCAAGGGGGAAACCACCACAATATGGGTAGAATATGCAAAAGTCCACACATACAGAGTAGAGGTGGGTGGCCTTATCAGGACCTCATGCTTCAGATGACATATAGGGTTAGCTGGATAACTTTAAGCCAAACATGAAAACCGTCCAATAGGTGGGGAGGTAAGTGACATTCCTATTGGACAATCCTTTCATTTGATTTGAGTTATCTGGCTAATGAAGAAATCCTGCCTTGTGGAATACCCCTATGGATCTCTGGATCATTGAAGTAAACCTTGTTCTCATTCACGCTATGGTCCTGATTCTCTGGTGGGAAGGTGTGAGGGGGTTGTGTTTGATGCACAAATTTGTTCAGCTATGATTCTCTACAATGTTTCTGATACCAACGATCAAACAAAAAGATCTCAAAGTCATTTCCAGAAGGAACTGATCCAAAGAATAGGTTGGTGCTTACTGAGGGTTTGTAGGCCTATGTAGTAACTTCTCCAGCAGGTCCCTCAGGCTTTCCACAGCACCAGCTCTGCACAGTTTCTTTCTGCCTTCAGAAGTGTTGCTTTCTCCAGTTCAGGCTCCTTTGTGTCTTTGATCAATGCCTGAGATCTGAATCATTCCTCATTTATGTGAGTTCTTTATGATAATTCTTCATTGGCTCTCAGCAGAAGAAAATCAATGGTTTTGATTGCCTTAAAAAAGAGAATGGTGACTGTGGATGTTGTGTTTATCAATGCAAAACCCATTTGAATGCAGAATAGGCTGCCATGATTGTGCTTATTTAGTTTGTCAGGATGTCTGAAAACATGACTGCAGTTTCCATTCATACACAAGCATTTACTGTTACTCACTAAAATATGGCAGACCATATTGATTAATGCGTTTGTTAGAGTTAATCATCCAGCCTCATTAATCATTTACAAAATGCAAGCAGCAGTTGTGAATGCTACTGGATTGAGCTACATTGCTATTCTGGAAATATAAAACAAAACCAGATACAAATGAATTTGTGATATCAGAGATATCTGGTACAAGACAGAGCATGTAAGATACTGGGTCAAGTTTAATTAGGAAATTTGGCTTTTGACACTTACTGGTCTCTTTTTTGCATATAGAACGACTCACAACATATTACAATTTAGCTGTATGAACTGGCATGGCTGAAGGTTTCATAATTACAAGAAAATAACTTGATCTTTGAAAAACAACACGTGACCAAAATATATTAATAATAAATATGAATTCAACCTTTTGGGGGGGGGGGGTTAGGATAATTCATAAATATTTGCATTATTAGATTGGTCTGAGTTGGGGCCCCTACATTTCATGCATCCATGGGGCCCAAGATCAGGTTACAGCTATAAGCGGCACAACTAGGTTCAATATTCTGACCTATAAGGAAAGTAAGTTACTGTAACCAAGACTTTTGAAAAAGGGGCATAATTTCTGTTCTTTATCACATTCAGCAAATTATTTGAGACCAAATCCATCAGGCTTCCTCAGTCTTAGCTAAAACTTTTGCTAGTGATTATGTACAGCTGAATATATTTAATATATTTTATTATTCTCTTATTATGCGCAGCTGCTTGGAGTGACCAGGGTCACATTTCACTACATGTTGTAACTGTGTATAGTGACAAATAAACCTCTTGAATCTTGAATCTACTGACTAGTTAGCAAAGTGACATCAGAAAGCACACCGTTCTTCTGATGGCTGCAAGGACGATTTTACACGGACAGGAGGGGCTGAATGCCTTCATTCATAACACTTACAGCGAGGGCATTAAATGAGGCCCTAGAAAACAAATCAGGTAATGATGTTCTTTTCTGTCTTTGATAGTTCCTTATTTGGAGATGTGCATATGTAAAACAAAACAAAACAAAAAACACCTTAGCATGTAAGCTAACTAAGCCGGTTCTCCATGCTCTACGGATGTATACGGCTTTCTGCGTACAGTTTTCCTGTGCTTTTCATAGTCTCTTTTTAGCGGCCTCAATAATCAGAATTAAACACAGAACCGATTACTAATTAGACACGGGGATGTGTAACAGTCTGATCAAAAGCGACGTCTCCTTTACTGCGCAGACGTAGCCCGTCTGGCTCACAGGGAAGCCGCTCTCAGCGCTGTCCGTCTTCTTCTCATTATGTCGACTCTGACGGCAGTAGAAATGGACTCATATGGTACTGAGACCACGCTGTCACCATCATCTCAATCCTAATGACACCAGCGGTGTCTCGATGTCACTCTGGCAAGTTTGTTCCATTGTGCTCAAGGTGAAATCTGCAAGTTTACGGAATTTTGGTGTCATTGCAGGCAGCTGTGTTTTTTAGCATAATTATGATATGGAAAGGGCAGCGACATCACCCAAATGTTATAATTACACTGATCACAGTCGAGGACAGACTCCTAAATACACAAAACCATTGTTAAGGTCAGTGCTGTAAATCTATCTGAACACTGTCAGTGCTATTACTGGGGACTCAATGCCACTGCAGAGCCTTCAAGGGGCACTGGAATGGGCACGGACACCAAGCAATAACAGCACGCAGTGTCATTGTGATTAAGTTAGGTGTACAATCACATCACTGTGACGCTTAATCTGTCATTTCATATTTTTGTATATTTTTTTCCTTCAATCTCCCTGCTGTTTCTTTGGCAAAAGCATACCTGCCAGTCAAATCACAAAACAAACCAAATCTCTCCCAGGAGATCGCTTGAAATAACTGAAACCTTGTTGGGGGGGGGGGGGTTAGAGGGCGGTTGGCGCTGTCTTTAGACTTTCACTTGGCAGGTGATAAGACAGAAATCCAGCCCCAAACGTCAGGCACAGGAATCTCAGTGCTCTCACTGAACTTGCGATCCAGCGGCCGCAGGGATCGTGGCCGGGGGGAGAGCTGCCATAGCCAGTAAGCATCCAGCACAGCAACTGCAATGTTACAGTGACACTGGCTGTCAGCATGAATGCAGTGTGTGTCACATAGGAAAGCTGTCATCAAACACTTCCTGTGAAACTGACTAAAATGTGTATTAACTATATTTATCCTCTCTTTTAATAATGTCTCCTAAATGCCATTCTGAGTTGCTTCTGTGGTATTTATTTCACAATTTTCACCCTCTTCCTGTCATCAGGGTTGTATTTGCCTTTTCAGGGGCCATAGGCGGGCCCATAGCCAGAAATAAATTTGGGGGGGGGGGCTTCTGTCAATCTGAGCCCACTTTTGCTACTCAGACCTGTTACATTTTTCTTAGGGCTCCTGCAACACCCCCTTTACGGGGCCCATGTCACAGTGATCCCTTTTCTAATCAATAAAATGTTTATTTTTTTCATGTGTTTATAGATGGGTCCTGTTCTGGGTTAATATGGACCCAGTACATGTTCCACGTATCGACTGATGTGGGATAAGAGGGTTCTGCTTGGGCATTTTGACCCATCGGTGCCATGACGACCTTGGGGAATACAGGCACTTACTTTCTAAGCAGAACTTTGCGTATGAAGGAAGGTATCGCGCTCCCATCAGCCCCCGGCCTGAAGCAGAGCCTTGTGACTGCATTGTGTTTATTCTGCTTTTTGTAGCTGAAGATCAGATTCACAAAGAACCAGAGAGCAAAATGCAGTTTATCTAAATGTGCAAATTCATTATGAGCAGAACAATGGCAAAGATCTGTGTCAGCGAAGCGTCCTCATCTCTTCTGTCAGCCTTTTCATCCGTAATTAAATTCCACTTCAGCTGGATCAGCCTTATCCCGACCGGCCATAATAAAACGGCTCCTACTGGCGAGACGATGTCCACAATCTCTGCATTTTTATTACGCATTAGAGGCACTAGGTGTTCTGTGTGTTTATGCAAATGTCTGGTGCTCTGCAGAGAGATGACTGTGGAGCAGAATGCCGTGCCTGCTGTATCTCTCCAGGCCTCCGTTCCCTTGGAGAGACACGTTTGCCTCCTTCAGACATGGTGTTGCTCTCAGAACCTCCAAGTTCATTTGCTCAAGCTGAAAGATTCACTCACACTTGTATTCAAGCTTCTCTACGTCTCCTATCTACAGCAGCCT